TGGTCAAATACTGGAATCATCTACCCAGGGAGGTGGTAGAGTCACCATCCCTCGAAGAGTTTAAAAAAAGACTGGATGCGGCACTTGGTGCCATGATCTAGTTGAGGTTGTAGAACATGGGTTGGACTCGATGATCTTAAAGGTCTCTTCCAACCTAGAATTTCTGTGATTCTGTGAATAGCAGGTGTTTCTCCTGTCCCCCCACCCCTATCCTGTGAAACACCTTGCCTAAAATACTTCCATTAGTGGTGCCTTCTGCTGTCTGTAAATCAACAGATGAACAAGATCTCCTCCATCAGGATGCAGGCTGAACACGTAGAATCTTCCTGTGTATAAATTCAGCAGCAGCAGCAGGTTTTATGTCCATCAGCTCCCTTGTCTGGCAGCAATCTGAGGGATACACAGGAGATCATTAATCACAGTCAGGCCACTTAGTCTGCTTTCATCTTGACTCAAAGAGAAATCAGTTTAGACCAGCATGATAATTCAGATGTCATGCTAAATGCTCATATTGTGTATTGTAAGGGAGTCAAATGACAGGCAAAAGGAAGATCTTTGAAGCCAATGCTTCAGCTTTTTCAAGACTTTCCAGAATTTCAAGTTCATTTTTAGGCGTGCACAACGTCAGATCTCTGAGCAACATGTTAAACAATAATAAATTGCTTCCTGTTTAATTAGGCCCAGCGATATTCTCTCCTCGGGGCACCTCCCTTTCCCCTAGCCCAGTCCCATTATACTTTGGGAAAACAGAATCTCCATCCAGTTCCTGCTCTCAGCCAGGAGCAGTTTCCTGAGTGCTGTCCTGCCCAGTTTCCTCCTGCTTTCTCTGTGCCGCGTTTCTGGAGCTGAGAGCCTTTGCTGGGCTCAGCAGCTCCCTCCGAGGGTTCCAGGCTTCCCTGGAGGAGGGGAGGGCTCAGCAGGGCTCAGCCTGGTTTCACTCTGCTGGCCATGTTTAGAGCCAGGTCCCCAAGCCCAGTTACAGCAGGGATATTTGTAGGTAGCAACACAGGGGTTTATTAAACACATGCACACATTACACACCATATTTACAGACACATGGTGAGGGTGCCCTTTCCAAGCCTACACAGTCAAAAGGGGTGACTGGGATGGACAAATGAAAACGCTCTTACCTGAGCTACTGCTACCAAGAATGCTCAGTCACTGCTGCAGAACAAGACAGTGCCTTCTAACAATCAGGGTCGAGTGTCACACCAGCACACAAACACTTCAAAGACAAAAGTCAGTGCTCAGTTAACAATTCTGTCCAGCAGGTGTTGCTGCAGACTACAAAACACATTCAGGCAAGGTCCAGCTGGCCAGCTTTTGGGAGGGTGTCAAACACATGGTGCCAAGGACAGGGTGCCTAAGTATACTTCTATTCATGAAACTTTTCAGTGTCATCAAGTAATGCAAGCTGTGACATTGAAATCGAACTTTGGAATATACAAGCACTGCTTAACTCCATTTCTAAGTGGAAGTAAAACTTGGCTTTGACTTCCAAAATAAGCCAACTTGACAGGAAGATTTCAGGTTCTACATTTTAGTGATTCAGATCCATTCCAGCTAATAGGGCAGCAGGATACTTGGAAACTGAAAAATGAACCCAACAAAAACTATAAAAAAACCCTAGACAACTGCTGTATGGGGATACCTTCCCAAAACCAAAACAAAACAACATACAAAAATTACCTCCAATTGTATTTTGACAGTAATGGCATAAACAGAATTTCATGTAGTATTTGAATACCAGATGTGATTCAATATTTTAAGTATATCTTTTATTATTCAATTCACTGGTTTTGCCTGCAAACCCATCAGTGTTTCTATAGACAGTGGAAAGGTTTGAATTGCAAGATGAATTATCCAAACAGTGAATCAGTCCTTGATACTTGAAATTCATTTTTCTGTGTTAAATGGTGTTGTGTCTTTACAGGAAACTGAGTCTGTAGGAGCTTTAGTCCTTCACACCACCCATGTTCTGGTCAGAAGATGCAGAAAGACTGAGCAAGACCAAGCAGGAGGTATTGTCCAGTAGTGCATCATTAGAAGATGGAGAAGACAGAAGAGCAGACAAATGTCTAGAGGAGGTAGGGGTATGAAATACCTGCTTTCAAGTATTTTTACATTCACTTTGAGTTCTTCATGAAGTCATGTCATCTGATCAAAAAGGTTAATCTTGGGAAATTTAAGATAGATGAATTCAGGAGAAATTGGTTAAATATTAAATGTAGCTATTTTGAAGAACACGTTTGCCACCCAACTCTAATGCTTGCTTCTTAAATTCAGCTAAAGCTTTCCTTTCCAAGTGCTGAAGCTCATCCTGTTACACCATGCTTGGTGGAATCTCAGCTAATATCCAACTCTACATTTTTGTGAGAGGTGAGAAGTTCCTTCTTCTACCTGCAAAGACAACTACAGATAAGTTTGGTCCAAGTCTTCTTTTTGCACTAATTTGTAAGCTGCCAAAATTACTGTAAGATTGTTCTTATTTAAAAAAGAAACCCCCTTCAATGTCAGTAAAAATAGATACCACTTCTTACTCAGTAAACATCTGAATCATGAATCACTGCATGCTGGGACTATTCATGGGAAGCATTAACACACACTTCCCAAATTCTCTGCTCCTTCCCACCAGCCATTGTTGCAGCCAGGATTCACTGCCTCACCACCTGCATCAGAAAGGCTCATGAAAACTTGAGATAACATTTCACGATTTGTACTGCTCCCATAAATTACTTTAGAACTCTGAAGTGCCTTTTTAAATACTTTTTGGCACACAGGAAAAAGTTAAAATGTCTAAAGTCGTGTCAGCCCTATGGTTTAAGCAGGGCACCCCCCTTCAATGGCACACAAAACCTGTGACCAGCACTAGAATAGACCCACAGAATTTTTTAAGTGGAAAATGCCTTTAAGATCATGGAATCCAACATTAACCCAGCACTGCTGAGCCCACCACTCGACCATGTCCCTCAGTGCCACATCCACACAGCTTTAAATAACCCCAGGGGTGGTGACACCACCACTTCCCTGGGCAGCCTGTTCTAATGCTTGACAACTGTTTCAGCGAAGAAGTTTCTCCTCATATCCCATCTAAGCCCTCCGTGGCACAACCTGAGACTGTTTCCTCTTGTCCTATGTCTTGTTACTTGGGAAAAGAAGCCGACCCCCACCTGGCTATTATCGCTCTTCAGGCAGTTATAGAGAGTGGTAAGGTCTCTCCTGATCCTCCTTTTCTCCAGGCTGAACACCCCCAGCTCTCTCAGCTGCTCCTCACAGGACTGTCCAGACCCTTCCCCAGCCCCATTTCCTTTCTCTGGACTCTCTCCAGCCCCCAATGTCTGTCCTGCAGTGAGGGGCCCAGAACTGGACACAGCACTTGAGGTGTGGCCTCACCATGCCCAGCACAGGGGACAATCCCTGCCCTGCTCCTGCCAGACTCCCTATTGCTGATCCAGGCCAGGATGCCACTGGCTGCCTTGGCCACTTGGCTCATGTTCAGGCTGTGTTGCAGCACCCCCAGGTCCTTTTCCACTGGGCAGTTTTCCAGCCACTCCTCCCCCACCTGCAGCACGGCCTGGGGTTGTTGTGGCCCAGGAAAAGGATCTGGCACTTGGCCTTGCAGAACCTCCTGCAGCTGGTCTTGGCCCATCGATCCAGCCTGTCCAGATCCCTCTGCAGAGCCTTCCTGCCCTCCATCACTCCTGCACAACTTCGTGTCCATCTACAAACTGAGGGAGCTTTCAGTCCTCTCACCCAGATCATTGATAAGGACATTAAACAGGACTGGGCCCCACACTGACCCTGAGGAGCACCACTGGTGGCTGGCCTCCAGCAGGACAGAGCTCCATCCACCACCTCCCTGGGCCCAGCAGTCCAGGCCATTCTTCACCCAGCCACGAGCACAGCTTGTTTGCACAGCAATGCCTCTACTGATGTTACAAGCCTCTGAAAATTGGTGATAAGGAGCACAGAACTGTAATAGATATAACAGATTTTTTTACACTGTAGAGATAGAAAGGCTTAAGTTCACTGATCACCCACCAACTGGAATTTCTGACTGTTTAGAAGTATGCTTAAAAGTCTCACTTAATGTAGATGAACATTAAAACACTGCAACAAACCCATATATGTTAACTTCTCTCACAAAAAAGGGCTATCTTATAAAGTAAAACCCTAAAGGTATTTCAATGTACAACTTTTTCAGTTATCAGTAAAATATCAGTATTCATATCCCTTAAACCAATACTCTGAACTTTACTGTCATATGTCTAGAACTCTTACTTAGTTATTTTCTGCTAATTACAAAGCTGAATTTTCTGAGTCCATAGAATTCAGGCACAGCTTCTCTGACTCACCTGTGGCTCTAACACAAGGGAAAAACTTCCACAATACAGATCTACTAAGCCTTTATTTACTGTGTCTCTCTTCTTTACACTTGCCTCCATGCCACAGAACATGCCATCACTGTGTTCCTGAAGTATTCCAACTCTTCCCCCTGTTTTCTTCCCAACTTCCAAATCAGCAGCTCTTCCTATTCTCATCAGTTCCTGCATAATTTTTCCCTTACCTCAGACCCAGCTATTTCTTCACATAGTTTCTATTCCTCCACCATCAGTCATGGGTTCCACTTCTTCCAGGGGTTTCATCTTTGCCAATGCAATACCCCTGAGGCTGCACAGACAGACTGCTACTAACACATGGAATAGGATCCCTCTCCTAATTATCAGTAAGTCTCTTATCTCAGTCTTACTCTCAGGAGAGGGAGTCACAAGCATCAGGCATGAGTGGGAAGCAGATCTCATCAGGACTTGCCATAGTATATTCCCAACTCAGTATTTTATTTCTGTAACTACAAAGTTAAATAAGTGTTACACAATATTAAACAAACAGAACTTTTAACTTTAATATTCAAATTCCACACTAGTAAGAACAAATAGAGCACAAAAGGGAAACATTGTTTTAAGTAAAATGAATAAAGAGACAAGCCAGTAATCAGAACAGTTCTTCTGTCAGCCTAAGTTCAACATCAGCATTGGTTCCATGGCCACATTCTGTTCCACATATTGGAACTTCAGACTGAATTGTTAAACTGTGTCTGCTGGCATCCCAAACTGCAGTTTCTGTATAGTACACTATAAGCATGATCAAACTTATGTACATAAACAATGAAAAACAACCTGAACACACTAAACAACTATTTACAAGTATTCCAACATAAAAAAACCAAACATACAATAGCCCAAGAATAGGCAACTGAAGAAAATATGAACATTCAGAGAACCTTATTAGAAAGTAGAACAAAACATCAATAGCAAAGACATTAACAATTGCACTACACTAATACAGAGCCCAAATATTAAATTGGTGCATTTTTTCACAATGCACTAGCTTTGAGAAAAAAATGCTGCCTTCACTAAAATGCAGCTTACATTTGTTTCACGTAATTGCTTTAACAAGAAGCCTATTAACACAAGAATGATTGTTTTAATGCTACAGTTTACAGCAAGGACATTGAACTAAAAATAGCAGCAGTTCCACATGGCACTTAATTCCACAGGTTCCTAAGCTGTGGTTTATGCAATGCCTACAAAGTGCTCCCAGTTGAATATACAAATAAAATTCACAACAGAAGTCTACCTGACATCAGGTACATTGACTGTAGGTGGCCTTAAAGCCTGTCTTTTAAAATTTATTCCCCCTCTGCTCCAAAAAAAAAAAATTAACTATCAAAGTAAGGCCCCCTCCCTCCTTCTTAAAAGATTAGGGATATTGCTTCTTATTACAACGCTGTAACACTACAAAGCAGCACACCACTATAGTGGTTAACCCTGGGACAACATAACATCTAACAGTGTAACTGAAGGCTTATGGAGTAACATCCAGGAGAGTAACCGAGTCCATCAGCCCCGATGGTGAATGCAGAACCAGCCATAGGGTACGAGTAAAAACCAGAAGCAAGAGCTGTCAAACTGGTGATACTGCCTACAGGACAAGGAAGAGGAGCTGAAGGCTCCCCCAGTTGCTGGCTGGGGTGGGTCAGTAGATGGTGAGGCTCAGCGAGCGGTTCATCTTCTTGCCGATGAGGCGCGACGGGCGGCTCTGCGTCGCCGAGCGCGTGGCCATCCTGTCCGTGAAGAGCGCGCGCTCCTCGGCCGCCGCCTTGGCCAGCTGCGCCTTCTTCAGCTCCCTGCAACACAGGGACACGGCTCAGCACAGCCACACACAGCAACACAGATACAGCAGTCAACATCCAAACTTCGGGTCAGGTTTAGGTCATACTGAGAGCGTTATGATTCACATCCCCCTGTTAACAGCCAGACGGCAGAGGTGGCATGCTCATTACTTGTACAGATGTTCTTTCTTTTGAAAAGCAAGGGAAGGAAATGAAAAATTCACACAACTCAAAATTCTGAAATCCAGCCTGCTGCAAGCAGCTCAGCACTTCAATTACCAGGACTCAGGAGGGTGCTTTTGTCACAGACATCTTTTATGAAAAATCTTTTCTTAAAGATTTTTTCTCCTGAGAAGCCTCAGGAACAAAACGTAAACAATAGTTATCTGCTGCTGGGGAATGCAACAGGTAGATCTGTGATTGGTCCCATAGAGTTGTTTCTAATTAATGGCCAATCACACTCAGCTGGCTCAGACTCTGTCTGAGACACAAGCCTTTGTTATTCATACCTTCTTTTTCTATTCTTAGCCAGCCTTCTGATGAAATCCTCTATTCTATTCTTTTAGTATAGTTTTAATATAATATATATAATAAAATAATAAATCAAACCTTCTGAAACATGGAGTCAGATCCTCATCTCTACTCTCATCCTCAGACCCCTGTGAACACCATCACACTTTTACCTCCTAGCACAAGGCTCGTGTTAAGTCAGAGTTCATTACCAAAGCTTGCCCAAAGGAAGCAAATTCAGCCACACCTGAACTTCTGTGGGAGTCAGACAATTAGATGAACACAGGTGTGGGTAACTGGCAACAGACAGCTCAGGAAGCATCCCTTTCCTTTTGCATACCCACATCAAAAGCTGATCACCACCTCCACATTTTCTGCCTAACAAAAATGGGAGCCTGCAAGGCAGAGTCACTGAAGGCAGCACAGGCCATTGCCCCTGTGCAACATTCTGCCAATTGCTCTGTTTCAGAGAATTACCAATACCCAGCCTGAGGACAAAGTTAAATCTAACTCAGGATAAAATCATAAAGTAGTCCAATGAAAGAGCACCGCTATCTTTATAAACATTTCCCCCATACACTGCTTTTCTCCTTTCTTCAAATAATGACATATGGCTAAACCTCAGCCTTCCCCCTCTCCCTTCCACAATCTCAAACTATCCATTAAAGAACTTTCTCTACCATGAGTATTTGTAATCTCATTTCACACCTGGCTGCAAAGCAAAATCAAATGTTACAAGCTTGCTGCACATTGGTGCAGGTGTATTCAGTTTTAAGCTACATGTTTTACTTTAATAAGCAATTCCCATTCTTGTAAGCCAGAGTTAACACCCGTGCCTCATCTAATCACCCCCACATTTTTCACTGTGCCAGTTTACTGGAAGAGAATGCAACCAATTTTCAGTCCTCTTCCTTGTGAACAAATGCACACTCGTGTGCTTGCCCAACCACCACACCACATTACCAGGAAATTTAGTTTTACAATATCCTTCCACTCTTCCCTAGAAGTCTTGAGTTCTTGCCTAGAAATCTTGAATTCTTCCTTCTTCTGAAGAGGACAACACAGTAGAAAACCTGAGTTGCCTTAAAAGGATTTTTTTTCACTGAAGATGACTTACACACTAAAGTGGTATTTTAAATGGTTCAAATGCAGAAATTTAAGAAAAAACAAATCCAACAGAAAAAACCCTGTCCCCCCAAACTACCTGAAGTATTTTATGGAGCACTATGCCACACAACAGTAAAAATTACTGTGGCTAAATGTTGTTTTTAAGTCATTCTTAGATTTACAAGGATGTATCCTTGCTGCCAGGCTAGAAGGAATCTTCACAAAACACTAGCTTTGCCATTTTTCTTTTTCAAGTGGTGTAAAAAGATGTTGTCTTCATATAAACAAGCAACTTACCTCAGCAAATCTGCCCTTTAGCAACCTGCACAAATTGTCTGATTATTCTTTCAATGTAATTAATAATATTATAAAGATAACCAGCTAATCCAGTACATCTGGCTGCGGTCAGACTAGCAGTGGCAAGATAAGCCGGTAACAATGGAGTGAACCTGAATGTGAAATTAACATCTTCATTCAAGACATATCACTCCAAAATAAATCAGTGATCTATATTCCCTCATAAAAGCCTGCCCATTATGTATAACACATGTAAAGATAACTGAAGTGAAAGTGTCAGATAGCTGCTTATTGATTTACTAACTCTTTCCCTGAAATTCAAGCAGAAATCAGACTTTCCTAAAGGGAATCTCTTTTCCCAAACTTTAATTCAGAGTGAGTGTTTGAGCAAGGGGTAGGACAAGATGACCTCTGGATACAAATGATTCTCTGCTGACCCAGTAACACTGCTGTGTACAAGTCAGATTAGTCCAATAACTTTCCTGATGTGCCACTCCATTTAGGTTCAAAACAAGTAATTTAAGTCATTTTCCAACATTTCAATGTACAAATGACCTAGGAAAACACAGACTCAAATCATACAGACATAAGCTAGGCTATACCTGTCACAGAAGTGTGCACTGTCCGGATACATCTGTTTAAAACCATAATGTTTTGTATGCCTCGAATACTAACAGTGCTTTTGAGATTCCCTTAGAGTGTTCAAGAGTTCTTTCTGTGGAGAAAGTTCCTTTTAAAGTTCCATGACCCACTTTGCACTCTCAGAAACGCACATGCATACAGATTTGTGGATCTCACCCACAAACAAGGACACCCCTGTTTTATCATCACTTCACTCTCAGGCGAGAACCTGTTAGAAATGAAGTTCTGTTAAGGACTCCAAGGCCCTACTTACTTTTGCAAGAGGGAGTTCTTGAATTTTTCAGCGTTCAGCTCTATCCGCAGCTGCTCTGCGCTCTTTTTTGCGGCAGAGAGAAGCACCGAATGCTTCACCAGGGCCACAGCCGAAGGCCTTTTCTCAGGATCAGGATTAATCATAACCTTGGGGAAAAACAACACAAGGCATCCTTGTCAAGGCCAGCAAGACAATAAATCACACTTATCAGCGAGCCACTACTACAGGAGTTCTTACTTTTAGTAAGTCTAGCAATTCTTGAGAAAGCACTTGTGGCAGCCTGGGCAGCTTTCCTTGCCGGATTTCGTGCCACTGGTCCCCGTTGGTTGGAAGAGGCTCAGCACCAGCAGCACAGACAACAGTCAGAGCGAGAGCAAAGATATCCGCCTTTGGCAAGTGAGTGTAGTTCTTCAAAAGAAAAAAAGAAAAGTAAATTCACCATTTTTTCCCTAAAGGAAACAGCATACAGGCCTAACATCATTGCTTCCCACAAACAGAACAGTTACCTCTTGTAGGACTTCATTTGCAAGGAAACGGCTGTCACCTTCTTCCACTTGAGGACTAGAGACTCGAGTTACATGGCCCAGGTCACCTGCAAGGAGGAAAGAAAGTTAATTTTCAGAAGACAACGAGATGATGCAATTCTTTTGCACACAAGCGTGTTTTTTCTCACCTATTTTAAAAATTACTCTGTCAGATGACCAGTCATCATCATCGCCTTCCTCTAGAGTTATACTCGGGACTGATGTTCTAGATATGAAAATGTTACCTGAAAAAGAGCAGAATTGTTAAAACAAACATTCCTGTACCATTTGTACTTGACCTAGTTTCACTACAGTTTCCTTTAGCCATGCAGAAGTTTTATTTGTATATAAACCCTGTTCAAAGAGTGAGAAGCTATAACTGATTCGCTGTGGCCCCTCTGCTGGGAAGGCAGCCAAGTGTTATGCAAGTAGAGTCAATTACACAAAAAGGACCCAAGATAAACTCAACAGTTTAGGTCTGCTGGCCAATTTTATAACTGACATCTTTGTGCTCCTATTCAGAGCTTCAGGGAAGAATTTACAGTTAGTAAGGTGTGGCTAACTGTTCATTTTTCTTCAGCAGATTAAATGAACTGAGCAAGTTGTCAACAGAGAGTAAAGTAGTTACAAACTTACTAGGTTTGATGTCCATGTGTACCAGGGACATTGAATGAATGTACTTTAAACCTCGAGCCACTTGAAGCAACAAGTCCTTCAGTTCTGGTTCAGTAAAGTAACGCATATTCCTGTAATTTTCACTTATGGCATCTGCTAAACTGCCACCTGGAACACCATTAAAAAAACAAGTTATACTTTTGCATCAAACAGCTGACAAAGTAACAACAACTAGCTCCCAAAACTAAGTGAATACATCACAGAGAACTTGCTGGCAATATACAGTAAGTGTAAAATATGGTGCTGTATCCTCTTTTCAGCCATATAACAATATAATAAAAATCTTTCCTCCTGTAGTTGTCAGACTAACAGGACATCAACACAAGGGAAAGGGCTCTCTCTATTCCAAATCTCTGTCAACAATAGAAAAATGCTTCCGAATCAAGTTTAATCTCCTTTTTAATGGAAATTCTAGCAATTTTCTCTATTCCAGCTTGTACTACTGTACAGAAGAAAGAGAAGTTCTTCTGCTCACAAACACCTCACAGTACTTCCAGTATGCTTGAACATGCATGACTTGGTCTGAAACTTTGTACAGTTTTTGCTTCATCCATCTGCTAAGCCTTTTCCAGAAAGGAATACCAGTCACTTGAAAGACAGCATGGGCTATGAGTAGGGTAACCAGTTCCCAACTATTGTTAACAGCTTGTAGATACCTGTATGCCTTCTTTACTTACCATTGCAATATTCATTCTGTATAAGCATGTGATCGTCTTCTGCCCATGCAGAGTAGTACCTCACTACATGGGAATGCTGTCCCAGAACTGCATGTGCATAGACCTCTCTTAAAGCATTCTGCCTGTTAGTCACAAAAAACAGCACATGTGAGTATTGTGACACGAAATTAGTACCATTCCTTATTACAGTAGGTATTTCTAATTAAAATCTTCCTATTCAATTCCATAACACCCTAAGCTGGATTTGTACTTATGTCCAAACAGTTAAAATAATTTACATTATATTAAAAGACTTAATCTATGGAACATCAAAACAATAGTTTGGTGTGAGAGCCACACTTCCATTACATACTTGCCAACCAGTAGCAATAGCAAACTTTAAGATGCATGACTAAAGTTCTAGGCAAAAAATAAAAGTGCTTATAAGCCAAGGGTTTGACTGAACTCAACATTCCCCAGATTGTAAGTCTGGTATGCAATTTTGTGCAACTCAGACTTGGGAGGTTTATATTATAACTATCTGAACACACTATTGTGTGTTCAAATACTTATAAACTATTCAAACAACTATTCCCCACAGTGAAGTGTGGGGGAAAGTCCTGAATCACAGGCTCATTCACAAATGCCAAAAAATACCCTCAAACTGACTTAACTCATCTACACGCCACTAAAGCTGACAAGGATGAGGACTCAGTTGGAAACAGTGCCCTCCTTCCATCTCTCAAAGATGACCTTTACAAAGAAGTGTAAGGAAGTCACTTTGAGAGCAGTCTGTTTCCACACAGAATACTGGGACAAACATCTGGCAGGAGAGAGGCCAATCAGCCTTTTCTCCCCAGTACTGCACAGTACTTGGGGAGTGGGTGGGGAAGAAAAAAATCAAGTTGCTTTAAAATTGTATCTATTTTACATTTAATTTATATTTGTTTTATACTTTCCTCTTAAATGCCTTCTCTAGACACCAACACAAAGAGCCAAGAAGAAACACCAAGAGAAGACTTTTAAGTTTTAAGAGCAGGAAGTACTCACTCGTCCACTGAGCCAGCCAGGGGTTTCTTGGATCGTTTGATTGCATAGATGCAGCCATCCAGCCTCTTCACACACTTAAACACAGAGCCAAATTCACCAGACCCAATCTTCTCCAGTTCATGGAATTCGGTTGCATACCGTGACTTCATGTTACTTTCTGTTATTGTTATCCTCTGCAAATATTACCAAGGAAAATATTTAGGTCTGCAGATACACAAACTGCTTAAATTAGTATCAAGGCTTAAAGATTAAATACCTTTGCAGGTCTCATGGTTTCCTCTTCAGGCTCTCCATCACTTGGTTCCATGTCCTCCCCACAAGAGCTGAAATTCACACCAGACATGGTTTAAGTAAACTTAGAACTGAAGCCCAGAAGCTGTTGAATTTTTTTGAGATCTAGTTTTCCTATCTAACTTTAGTTTACTAATTGAACACTAGACATCTGTAAACACAAACTCATAAAATTGCCACGCTAATATCTTTGTCATTTCTTTCTACAGGTTTCACACTTGTATTTAATGCATTTTTTTCCTCCTGAATGAAAGACTGTGTATGGCCCATTGTGTGAAGGGAAAAAGATCAGCACACAGCCTAGTCTATGCTCTCTGTACAGTAATCAAAAGATCTAATGCTAAATGACTATTTCATGCTATCATGCCTCTTAAAGCACATCCTTTAAGAGCTGTATTATACATTACTAACAACCTGCAAGCAAAAATACATTCTTAGAAGCAATTTGTAGCAAAATCTTTGCAGGCAAAAGTAGCTCTAAATACAAGTTTAACAAAGGAAGCTACAAGTCACTCACTCATTCCAGTGTATCCTCTTCCTCCTCCGACATTTGCCATCAGAGTTGTGAAGGAACATGGAGTCAGGAGTGAAGGGATTGATGTTCACATGAGGTGTTTGTCTAAAATCTTCTTCTTGCTTCTCTGATTTCCCAACATTCATAAACAGTGAGCCCCCTCGAAGTTTGACTGAGCTGGAGCCTAAACCTTGTGCTTTAGAAAGCAAACTCTGTATTTAAAAAAAGCAAACAAAACCAAAATATTTTTAGTCATTCATGACCCTGACATTGCCTTAGATATTAAATAGTCAGGTAATGCCTGAAGCCATCATTACAGTATTGTCTAATTAAAGTTAGCATCAGTTGTTTAAATATCTGCATTTCCATCAAAAAGCCTGTCTAAGAAACCATAATGCTTTCTACCCTACACAGAAACAGTTCAAGCAAACAAATATTAAAATTAAAAGACAGCAAAGCTGATGATGAGAGTAACCTTTTTCTGTCTTTAATCATTTAATCACCTAAACTTCTTGGGCAAATCTTTGTCCATTAAATAAACACAGATGAAACCCGGACAATCCTGTACTGTATCACTATTTGCACGTGCACGATGTGGAAGCTAGATCAGACATGAAATGATCTTTGGTTTCTACAAATTTAAGTGACAATCTTAAACAGCAAATTCTGAGCCTACAAAAATCGTTTCAAGAATTGGCAGCATGGCTGCACTGCCAGTTAAATATCCAAAACTCATCTTCTGGGTGGTAACTTGGCAGACCAGGCATCCTCCAGGCACATAACTAAACCTCCCCCCTGCACCTGAGTCTCCTCCATCCTGGTGAGGATGCAGGGATGATTGGATCACAAGCAGGAGCATCATCTTATCCTAACAACAAAATAAAGACTTGACACAACTAAAGCCTAAACCACCACAGGGAAGAACACTCAGTACATGGGAATCTCAACTGCAATCCTGAAATCTGCCCTAGATGAAGACCTGTGCTTCTCAGGACACATTTCTGTACTTCCACTGGATACCTGAACCAACTGATTCTTCCAAAGATAACCTATGTCGTATTTGGCCACCTAATTTAAGAACCCCACTGAACTGCTGCGTTAAGAACTTGTTTCTAGTATCATATTCCACAAAACTTTTGCAGCTCTGAAGCGTCTGCCACTGACAAGGTGTAAAATCACCACCAATGTCACCTTTTACAAACTTGTACCACTGATTTTCACCAGTGAACCCTCCCTGGAGATGGAAGCTGTAGAAAACCAATTAAGAAGGAAGCCTTCCTCACACCTTAAGTCAGTTGTTTTCCATCTATAGCCTATAGACCCCTGGGAGATTATCCCCGGGGATTATCCCAGGATTACTTCTAAAGGGCTATATGAAAAGTAATGAAGAAAGGAAGCCAATTACCACTAGATTTAAATTCACTATAAGGGATTTTACACAGCGTCGAGTTCAAAAGTTGAAATGCCTTCCAAAAGTCTGCTATTGACAGAGTTAAGAGCTGCTATCCATGTCTCCCTCTAAACTTTGGACTCCCCCAGTTTCCGAGCACCGAAGTGTTTCACGTTCGATGCAGGAGGAGTGCAGAGGCTGAAGCAGCGCTGGCACACGGCAGCAGCGCCCATCGGAACGGAGCAGCCTCTGAGATCATCGGGCCCCGCCGCGTCATCACCCAGCCCACGGCACCGAGAGCCATCGGTCATCCTTCCTTAAACACCTCCAGGGACGGTGACCTCACCACCTCCCAGGGCATTCCATTCCCATGTCCAGTCACCCTTCCTGTGAAGAAACTCCTCCTAGGACACGCCAGCTCACCGAGACACGCTCAGGATCACACCCCAAGCCGAGCTTTAACTTTCGGGCTACACCCCTACGAACCAACGCCCACTCCACGTTCCAGCACGCACTCCAGGAGCTTTAACACTCCACGCTCGCACTTTTCAAACATGCCTTCCACAAAACACTGCCAAACTCGGGAAACATTTGTGTTTCTATATGACTAACATCTAAGTAAGCGGCTCGCCCCGTGTCCCGTCGGGAGGCGGCGCCGCCCCGCCCCGTCCCGGCCGGAGCCCCCGGCGCGGTCCCGAGCGGCGCCCCCGCCGTTACATAACGGACTAGCCCGGCTCACCTTGGGCGTGTGCGGCGTGTCGAACAGGCGCAGCTTGCGCAGGGTCTTGTGCGGCGGCGTGCCCGGGTAGTCGGGCAGTGGTGAGCCGGGCTCCTCGCCCCGCGCCCCCCGGTACCCGCCGGCCGCCGGGTGCGGCGGGGAGCGCTCGCAGCAGCGCCGGCCCTTGTGCGGGGCCAGCGGCGAGGGCGAGTCGAGCAGGAAATAGGCTCCGGGCGACTTGACCGGCGACGAGCCGAAGCCTTCCTCCTCCCACGAGTCCCCCTCGTCCGGCAGCGGCGCCGCCGCCGGCTCCATCTCCTCCTCCTCCTCCTCCAGCAGGGGCGGGTCGCTCCGCGCCGGGGTGCGCGCGGCCGAGAGCGGAGAGTCCGCCTCCTGGAACGCCGAGTCCTCGCCGGTGCTGTTGGCGCTGCTGCTGCCGCAGCCTTCCTCCTCCTCCTCTTCCTCCTCCTCCTCGCAGTCGCTGTGGCCGCTCAGGAACAGCAGCTTCTGCCGGATCGGGGCCGCCGCCCGCCGGGCCGAGACGCGCCGCGGCGGCGCCGCCCTCTGCAGGCTGAGGAAGCTCATGGCGGCCGCTCCGCCCGTGTCGCTCCCGCTGCGCTGCCCGCGCTCCGCCCGCGTGCGGTGCCGGTTCGGCTCGCGCTGCCCACGAACGGTCCCGCCGCGCACCGTTCGGACTCCGCGGCTTTCCCGCGACCGTTGGTCACGTGTCGCGCACGCCGGCCAATCGCGCCCGCCCACCGGGTTTGAAAACACGGCGCGCGGGGGCGGGGCCGTGCGAGGCCGCGTCACGGGCCGCTTTGGCGCGAGCGGGGGGGCGGGGCCGGAGCGGGGCCCCGCCCCGAGGCGGCCGCGCAAACGTGTCCGCCCGTGAGGCGCGCGCCCGGCGCCATTTTAGCCCCGGGGTGGCCCCGCCCGGGCAGCGGGAACCGCCTGGAGACGGCGTCCGGGAGCGCCGGGAGTGCCGCGGCGACAGCGCCCGCCCCGCCGGGCAGCTCCCGGGAAACCGCGGAGACAGCGCGCCGCCCTGCGGGACTGCCGCTCCCCGCTCCTCTGCAACGTGGTCTGGCTCCCGTAGAGTTGCTGGAACTGAGCGCGCAAAAATGACAATAATAATAATAATAACAATAACACAGTATTTAATTAATTAATAATAAAAACAGCAGCTTCTACGCCGGTTAAAGGCGCGTTTTTCCTTTCCAGCCAGACCCATTGCTGTATTTACAGGAGCGGCACGCACGTGGTTTAAAGGGCCGGGGCGCTGCCCGCGCCGCTCGCTCCCGTGGGACGCTTCCAGACGGACCCCAGCCCCAGCACAGCGAACGCCGTGGATGCTGGATGCTGTCATTAGACGTGTCTCCCTACGGGTGCCACCACTTTGCCTCTTGGCTTTGTTTTCTGTCTGGTTACACCCAACAGATAAACCTGCCCCTCTCTTCTGAACCAAATCGCCTTAAAACGAGCTCCTTGGGTAACAAAGCACATGAAGAAATAGGAGTTTTTCCAGCCACGGGAGCCCCGGGGAACCCGAACCCAGCGAGGTACACGTGTAGCGCTGCTCCCCGGGCACGCAGGCAGTGCCGGGATCCATTCATCGCTCGGAGCCAAGCTGGGATGCTCGGACGCTGCAGCACAGCCCCTCTCCTGCCTCACCGGAGATCCCCTCCGCGCCCGGCACACAATCCTCATGTGCTGCCCCTGACACATGCCTGGAGAGCAGAACCTCGCACCCACAGGGATGGATGGCGGTGTCCCCTATTCCACTTCTGGCAATGCCAAATTCTTTAACTTCTTCTGCCTGAAAATACCCATTTCTCTGCAGACAGCTGTTCTGGTTTTAGGACAAGCAGTGATGAGCCACAGGAGCCCAAGTCTTGAGATTTGCATTTTGGAGAAAACTGAAAACAGGTTTCAGAAAACTGAAAGTAGCCAGCATAACCTATGAAAATGGGACAGAGATAGGGTTACATCAAGTCAAGTATAAACCCACTTGATGTAAAATAATTTAGAACCACACTAACATTCCATTTAAAATATTCATTTTTAAAAATTAAGTCCCCTGTGCAGCAAGTACTAACTGAAGCATTCAAGTTTTAGAACAGACGATGTAAGAGAAGGTTATGTAAAAATAGAATCTCCATCACCATTTTCTCCAATCAGAGTTCACAGAGCAATTCTTATAAGTGACTCAAAACTTTCCAGCCACTATCTGTGGCTTGCTTCAGTCATAAATGAAGTTTCCTTTTCTTTGAAAAAGTTTAAAGACTGTAAGCTTTCAATAAATTCCTCCCCCTGTAATGTCAAAGCCTGCAGTTTCCTTCCCAAACTCAACCTAATATACCTCATGTTTCCTGGAGTCTACAGACACAGTATTTGGTGACAGCAAGTGACAAACTGAAGTTCAGAAGCCCTGTTGTAATTGAATGAATTGCTAATGAATTACTAATCACTGGAACAGTTTAGTGGGACAAAATCAAGTGCTACAATTCAGAATTGTACAGAGAAGAAAGTATTTCTGAGGAGAAGACAGGAGAGGAAATGAAAAAAGGAATAGAGAAATAAGGAGACAACAGTAACATAGTGATTTTAAAAGCAAGTTTATTTGCAATCTGAAAGCAATTAAGAAAGGGAAGCAGTGAATAAATATGTAGCCAACAAAATGCACAGCTGCTGTGTAAGAGTTCACAGGCTCTGTTATGAACAAAAATTCAGTTGATTTTTTTCTGTGAGAAAAAGGTTACCACTACTGCTGGGCTGCTGCCTGTGTTATGGTAATTACGGGTCGCTGTTGTTAATAGTTGGTTTTGTATCGGTAAAAGCCCCGACTGGGGCGAATTAATAGCTCTTCTCTCAGACAGTAAAGGGTGGGGACCTCCCCGAACAGTGAGGAGAAGAGACTTTGGAGGGAGGGATATGCAAAATACTCTAAGGACCAGCATGCTGTTTGGGACCCCTATTCCAAATGCACGGAGAAAACCCCAAAAACAACGAGCCACCTAAGAGTTGAGAGACAGGAGTGATGTCTGGGTAAGAGGAGTGGAGTGCTGGGCCTGCAGAGATACTGAAAACCTTCGTTGTTCCTCACCCTGTCTTGGAGAGCCCCCGGGCCAGGTCTGGGAGGAGGCGAGACTGAGGCCCATGCAACAACGAAGGGATCACCATAACCTTAAAGACTGTCACGAGGATCTGATCCCTAGCTCTACCCGTAGTGGACAAAGCTGCGCATTTCCTCCTCCTCTGGGTTGCCCTGAGAGAGATGACAGGAGGCTGCAGTCCTACCGAGCTGCCCAATCCTGAGCCGATCACTTAAAATAAAGGTATTAAAAACGAGAAGTCTCGTTGCCCTGTTTATTTCAGGCTCTGTGTATGTGCTGCTCTGAACTCACACCCATTGTTTTGCTGTAGTCTGACAGGACCATGAGCAGGTGTGTTGAAGAGATGACTTTTGCCCAGACTGAGGGAAATTCTGCTCCCTCTGTGACACCTGTGATGAGCATGAGGAGCCCCACAGAGCCAACTCCCTCCCAGAGAGCACCTGAGCAATGCACATGACCAGAACAGGAAAAGCTCTTCAGGTTTCCACACTGTGCCAAATCATCCCAAATTCTCTGAAGCTGATTAAATTGCACCTCTGAACTGCTACAGATCTTGCAGACTCAAGCCCTGATTCTTCCAACAGATGTAACAACACACAAACTGATGGCTAGGCAGTGCCTGGCTGATACTCCTCCAAATTTGAGTGGTTTAACAGTTTTCAGGATATATATTTACAAAATTTGTTCTTTTTATAGTACTTGTTCCTAAGGTGCACTGAAGATTTTGCTACTAGAAATATTTATCTGGAGCTGCACACATTCACAGGCAAACAGCTGCTTTTAACCAGGAGTTTTCAAGCTCAAGAAAACCATTGTTTCCAACTGTTGTGGGTAGCAGGGGAAGTAAAAAATGAGGAAGAAATAGAACAATGGCCAATTTGTCTGGCTGTCAGAACTGCCAGAGAAGTGGCATTGCCATCTTGTCAGGGTTCCTGCACTTGCAAGCTCATCTGGAATCCTCCAAAACCACTTCCATCAAATAGGAAGAGTTCTGCCAAAATCTGGCTGAAACCCATTCTACATCAGCCAGCATAATTCACCTCATCAGGGCAGGTGTGAATGGAGTGAGAGAGCAGAAGAGGAAGAAGGTAAAGCTGCTTCTATGAAGAACAGAAACACAACAGGCAGCTGTGCCAAGGCTGATGGTGGAGAACTGAGAGCAGAGAGAGATCTTTGCTGTTTTCCCAGCTTTTATCTTGGTTTTCAGCAGGTACCCAGGGAGCAGTGTGCTTATCACCAGTGCCAGCAATGGCATTCCAGTGCTCACACAGGACTTGGCATGTTCAGAGACATTCCCAGGACAGTCGCAGTGGGAGTGTGCCAACTGGGAGATGTGTCTGGGCCACTGACAGCCTAAAGGTGAGCAGTTTAAAGATTATTTTATCTGGGGTTGTGCTGCTAACAGCTGCTGTTAGCTGGCAGCCTCCTTCTCTTCAATTACAAGGTCCAGAGTTAAATGTGTTTCCCATCAAAAATGGACTTTGTATATCCAAAGACATGCCAATAGCTGGTGCTGCCAGTCTTTGTTCTCTTTTCAGTCTATAGTCTGAGGCACAGAGAACATTGCTTAGGGATTTATTCACCCAGGAACTCTAAATAATAACAGCAAGAGAACAAGGTAGAGAATAGAACAGTGATTTTGACAGCACCAAGGTTTCCACAAAGTAAAGAACAGTTTCTGGATCCAAAATCTAGGAATTTCAGGGAAAATCCAAAGGTATTCAGAAGTTAAAATGTACAAAGTACATTAAAAAAGTACAGATTGTGCCAAGCAGTCACATACAATTCAGTAATTCTCTATGACTATGAGAGCAAACACTCATGACAGTTTTTAGTGACTCCCTTTTTTGCTTTTAAGTTTACCTCTTAACACTTGAAATCTGCTTAACCAGAAAATGGCAAAACAATCTGTTCCTGAGAGTTGTATTCAGGTAAGAAATCTCCTCCAAAACATCTGAAGAGTGGAAGATTGCCATGACTGAAACTTGTACAATTACAATATCCCAATCCTCTGTTGAGGCCAAGTTAAAATTATCAAAATAGAAAGATTTTGTACCAGCAATTGAAAAGTCACAATGTCTAATGCACAGAAACTAAGTAGTCACTACACTACTAATTTACCTCTATCACTAACCTACCTGCTTCCTTTTTCCCCTTCAGGGAACATGCAAAACCATGAAAGGTACTGTGCCTTTTTCCAAATCTACTACTCTTCTAATAATCTCTTAAGTGCATCATTTAAGGTAAGACATTTTACAAACATTTTTAGGTGTGCAGATAAAAAGATTTTTTAAAAATCTGTCTCTCACTGTCTTGAATGTATCTGTTTAAAAACAAAAATCAGCTTATCCCACCTGTCCCACAAACCATTCTTGCACTTTCTGATTTTTCAGTCTTTACAACCGATATTAAAATCTGACTTAGCCCTGAGTTATTGCACACCAGGGAGAAAACCCCACTGGAGATGTAGCTTTGGACCATTGTTGTATCTCCAGGAGCTTTTTACATCCTTTTGGTAGTTTTTGTTATGCCAGCAGACCTGCCAGGTGCTGGAAAGTCAGTCTCTTGCCCTTGTCCTGCCTCACTAAGATACCTGTTCAGGAACCTCTCAGCAAATCCTACAGAACCAAGCAGTAACACGATGGAGAGTCCACAAGTCTCTTGAAAAATAAGTAAAAAGCAGCAGCAATTCAACTTAAAGGTTGATGATGGATTTAAACAAAAGAAAGGGTAAAACACTGTGGGTTTTGACTACCACATAAGATACTTTTTACTTACAGGAAAAGTTCCAGGCAGTTACTGGTGCCCTGAAAGTGTAAATGGTTTGTCATTCCTTTGAGCAAAGTGCTGCAAATAATTAAACAGAACAGTAATAATCCAAAGAAAACTCTTATTGTTTCAGAACCTGAGATGGATTGGATTTAAGGGGGTCACATTTCCAGCAGAGATAAATACACAGACTGTGTAGGACCAAGTGCTCACTTGTTGATATAGGCTTCTATGTGTATTAGGATAATTGTATAAGCTTTTATGTTTATTGGGATAATTAAAGTCTGCTTTGAATATAACCCCCGGTTAGAAAGTCTGGTATCACCCCTTCCTGATAGGCTGAGGTGTCAACAGCTCAGTGCTAATGGTGATGGCCTAATGAGATTGTTACATTTTCCTCTGGCCAAGTGAACTCCACCAGCAGAATGAAAAACAGAATCAAAGGAATGCCAAACTGATGGGACAATTTACAATACAGATAACACAACAAGGAAAAATGCTTGCTTCTCTGCCTCAGCTTTTGAAAATAGCTCTTGATTTCTGCTTTGTTGTCATAGGTGTCTATGCTTTAGAGGGTTTTATCCGTAGAACACAGGATACTTTTGGGAAAATGGTGTCAGATACATACTTTGCAAATAAAAAAGTAGGAGTACGTTTTTATAAACAAGGGGCTGGAGTTTGATTTTATGCATCTGCAAAGACAAGGCAATTTCCACTTTTTCAAGACAAAAACGATGCATGCTGAATAAATACATTTTTAAAAGCTTCAAACAACTCTAAGTTAATAGCTGAACAGGACACAAGTTACCTGTCATTTCCAGTCTCAAAACCTTACTGCTTAAGAAAATCAGTTTGCACATCACGCAGATATTAGTGCTGTTTGAAAATTTCACAGAAATTTTGTTTCCATTCAATGACAAACTCAGAGTGAACAGAACAGGTTTCATCTTGGTCAGCTTAAGATGCAGAGTGACAACTCTCAACATCTGTAGAGCTGGAGTTGCCAGATTCAGAAGCATTTTCGATGAGATCCCTACTCCACTCCATGCTTCCCTGGGGAAGGCTCCCTGGGTGCACTGCACGAGCAAGGCACAGGGATTTCCCTGCTACAGCAGAACCCTCGCAGAACCCAGAGCGGGCAGTGGGACAAACTGGGGCAGTATTGGAGGGGTGAGGAGGGTCGGGAAGCAGAACAAAGCTCAGCCTGTGTTTGTTTATCACTGCTGAGCCCGTCCTGCCCTGTGCTGGGCAGACACCACGTGCCCGTCTCACAGGGGCCCTGCGGTATCGGTCAGCTGAGCCGGCCTTAGTCCCAGCAGCAGGATGAGGGCTGTTCACAGCAGGATTTACTCCTATGAAAACCATTAGCCCTTCGCGGTAAAAGCCGTCCTGTTGTTATGCAGAGTGTGTCTGGCACAATAGGTCACCAGCCTGCAGCACCGAAAATAATCACCTCTTTCACTATCAGGAGAGACTAAACTACCGCAAAGCAAAGGCCACCAGAGGGAAAATCTGGAGAGATACTTAAAAGGGAAAAGTTGACTGCGAGGCCTGGAAAGACTTCGGGATAATTCCTTCATAGGGAGAATTGGTACAGACCTGGAATTGACACACAAGAGAAAAATCCTACGGGAAATGTGGGAGTCAGTCTGCAAGAGGCAGTGGTGATACACTGAGCTCATTTGCTTTACAGGGCTTATCTTCTACAAGCTACTTCTTTGTGTGTGCCACAGCATTCCCTCTGAGACAGTTTTCAAAAGAGGAGTAGAATCTGTGGGTAAAGTACAGAGATTTCCACTGCCAAACACCCAGTGCTGTCATAATCTCTGCTTCCTCCTCCTGAAATCCTTTTTGCCAATTTTCCTGTCTATCTAACCCAATCTTGTTCTGTCTAAACTTTGCTACAGGACCTTCCAATGCCAACGTGCAGCCTCAGCTACCAAAACAGCTCCTTCCACTGCTGGCTGCAGGGAAGCAGCAGGGGAGAACCACCAAGGTCTGTTATGAGGGCAGGCCTTGCAGCTAAGGCACACATAATCACCTCAGCTCTTCTTTAAACACTAAGCATTTTACCTTATTTGTGTAGAGGGAGCTAGCAAAACATGGGAGCACCACCTTTGACTTGGGAGTTTTGCAAGAGTAACTGATAGGGTAACAGTCACAGAAATAATTTTTAAAATACCACAGCTTTCCTGACTGAGCTGGTTGTGAATGAACACCTTGCAGCAAACCAACTTGTATGAAAGAGAAGGAATACTCACATTTGTACAGTGGTCAGGAAATGTCCTGGGAAATGAAAAGAAATAAAAACTGAAGTTATTTCTTTGCTAAGTCAAAGTCACTGTTCCAGCCACCATTTTCAGAAACTATTAGCAAGGAAATTTAAGGAAAAAAAAAAACCTTGAACATTCACATCAAATGATACAACTTTAATTTCTAAAAGGTGATAAGTACTAAGAAACTGATCTAGTTGACAGGCAATTAATCCTCCTTGCATAGTACATTTATCTCCATGGGATATCAAGATTTACAACATTTCAGGAAAACTGGCACCTAAGTGAGCAAGCAACCTCAATCCTATACAAAAGTTACAGACAACCTATATGTTTTCAAGTTTTACTTTGTAGTTTATGCAGAGAATGGCCTTTCCTTTGTCCGCATCTATCCCACAGTACTGTATTCTCTCACTGCTTCTGTGTAGAAAACATAAAAGGCTACAACCCACACTGATACAGTAATTCACAATAAACTGGCTCATTCTATTCAAACTTGGCCTTTCTGAGGTCAAACACCTCAAGGTACTTAGTTATGGACTTTATTTTTTCATGTAGGATGTGCACTTGGGATTCCTTAATAGAGACTTTGTCCAGAGGCTGTTCAATCCTTCCCTTGAGAAAGCTAAAGGTGAGGCTTCAGTTTCAGAAGTGCTCTTGACACTAATCTGAAATAAGCACTGAATCTTACAGGAAGCCAAAAGTGTTTAACTTGCTTAACCAGCTTGCTAACAAGACAAGAGTAAAAACACTTCTTCATATAAAAAAAATTGAAAGTTACATTTTGCTGTATATTTTAGACATATCTACAATGGATTTTTTCCTTTACAGAATGATAGTTGGAGAGGAGCATTGTACTTACATCATCATTAATCCCTTTTTCCTAGTAACTTGTGTCCTGATTTTCAAAAGCACTGATTATCAAGCACATCCTAGGTACTGAATGGTAGCAGCAGGCACTCAGAACTGTTGAAAACAACTATTAGTACTTGGACTTTTGCTGCAAATGCACCATTTGAAAATAGTTCACTTGAAAATGGGGAACTTCACCTTTTAGTGAAAAATCACTCTTGTAGTGTTTTAGAATGTCTGAAATAACTATTACCAGTATTCCTTAATACACTATAGTGGATTAGGATCAAAATTAATGCCAAAAAATTCAGTTTATGATAAATAAACTTTGGAAAAATTTATACAAGGCCGTAAATAAATAATTTGAACTTCAGTCTCAGTAAGAAGTAAAACAGTATGTCACATGACAATATCATCCTATCTAAACAATACAATCTTGCTATATTTTATTGCATAATAATTCAGGAGTAACATCTTAAGTAAAATATGTAAAGAAACAAAATCATTAGATTTACTTTCTTTAATATTCAACAACCAGTTCTTTGTACATAATCCAATTTAAAGATAATATAATTAGCACTTCCAGCATTAACAGTCTGTATTTACAATGAATGAGATGGGGTAGATAATCTAAAGAGTATTCAAATCTGTATGAAACAAATCAAAATACGAAGATTTACAGTAGTAGGCTCAAAATCCAAGACTTTTCCATTAATGGAATGCAATTTAAAAAGGCTTTGTTGCCTTTATTACTTGTAAGGGTTCCTGAAATGGTTATTTAAACAGCTGAAATCTTCAGTAATGCCTTCATTATTTGTACATGACATTAAAAATTAATTCCAATACTTCTATTTTTTACTTGCTTGTAGACCAGTCTGAAATCTGATGAAAGGATAACAAGGAAGTTTACTATATAATCCTAATTCCATATTCCTGAATGCAACGGTTGGAAGTAGATGATGTCAGTCCATTCCAAGGGTTATGTACACAAAACTTAGAAAATGTTCTTCACTCTTGCATAAAATGTGTACACAGTATCAGTGAGTGGGGGACTTCAAAGTTTTTACGGGCTGTTGCTGGCATGGACCTTTGTTGGTTGAAAATAAAATACCTTTCACTCTATTGTTCTGGTAGCAGTTTTACAAGTTAATCATCAATCCCTGGTGTTTCCCCCTGTTGTATTCTGGAGGCTATTCTAATGGCTTCTTCCAGAGACTGTTGTTCTCCAAGCTGAAACAAACACATTCAAACAGAAAGAAGTCAAAAATGTTACACTTAGATAATAAATGCATCCAAAAAGTTCTGATAGGAGATTACACTGAGTTTATGTGTAACCACCAAATACATGTGCTTCAAAGAACTGCTGCATGATAAACACACTTCATGACCCACAAAGTAGGTGATATTTTACTTGGCAGATATTACAAAGTTCAGACCAGGCACTGAAGTCATAGTGGCTGTTGCATTTCATTTTATCACTTGTAAAGCAAGCAAACATCTTCATTTTTCCTAACTCTCTTAACAGAAAGTCAGCTCTTTGGAACACCATGTGACATTAATTTATTAAAAAAGTGTTCATTTATTGCAGAATCCCAAATGCATAAAAAAGCTGTTGTGATGACACTGTTTGATTCTACAGTTAATTTCCTCTCTTAACTATCTGGTACTACCAGAAGTAAGATAAGCAACCCTGAATAAATACAACTTGACACAATTTTGGGAGGGAACCCATGGAGTTCTATACTGTGTTCATGGGAACACTGAAGACAACCTCAACCGCACAAAAAAATGTAAAGCTGGCCGTTACCTATTAGCTCAGAAAAAAACACATATGAGAGTGTAAAAGGTAAAACCAAATTGTTTGACCTAATGGGACAATTCTAGGTATCACTTGTTATTTTACAGTCACTGCATATCACATTCAGGATCCACTCAAAGCAAGAGCTCTGTTTGCACCTCGTTAGGATTTCAGTAGGACTATCAGGCTACTGGCTTTACCAGGACTTAGAAACCAAATGGAATAATTTGTTAGTATTGAAGTACAAGAGAAAAGCCAATCAAACCCTCAGGAATAATCAACAGTATTTTAATTTTAAAATCCCTCTCTTCTATTTGTGTATTTTAAGTTTAATTAATGTAAAGAGACTTAAGTTAATGCCCCATTGCTGGTAACAGAAGAGGGGCTTGTGCAGAGAGTGCCTGTTTTCCTTTCATTCAAAGGACCTTTTTAGCTACTTTTTTTCTTTCCCTCATGCAAAAATTGCCTTCTGTCATGGTTTCTCTTACAGGCAGTTTTGATTAGTGCCAACTTACTCAAAAGAGAGGAGTTCAGAATTCAGGGCTTCTCAACTTTCACCAGCATCTCACTTGCTACTTTGCATTTTAACAAAGGGTAAAATAACAATCTCTTGTTTCTGCTTGAGGATATTAATATTATTCCTTTCAATCTGAGCTCTTAAGAGCTCTTTCATACCTAGAAATTACCTTTTCCTGACAGTGTTTGAACAATGTGAGGAACTATTTACAGAGACTGTTTGTACTGTGCTGGTTTGGCACATTACAGAAGGTCACTATTTCCAGAGATTTCTGATTATTAATCTTTCTTTATAACTGTTTGCCCTATTTTGCTATTAGCATTTCAAGGTTCAAATAACAAATTTGCTAATTTTATAAGTTCATACCAATTTATTAGTGAGGGTTTGGATTTATATCTTGTTATAAATTCTATATGTAAAGCTGAAGGATGAACAAAAGCACTTTTTCAATGAAAACCTGTGAGTCCATGAACTACTTGGTTGACTTGAAGTTTAGACCTCCCCCAGCCTTCCCCTTATTTCTGAGTTCTACAAGTAGATTTGGAAAATGAGATGCTGTTTATTCCTCTTCCTAACACTATATATTATTTTAAATATGAGATAATTTAGTAGTGGGCTATTTATTTTTCAGGAAACCAAGCTTATTCAAATAATTTTGTTACCTGACTAGGTAGCTTCTAGCTCTAGAAGTAAGAAACACTAAAAAACCATTTCTCCCCATCTTACCTGTACTGCAATTTGTGTCCCATTGGATGTGGCCAACAATGTGACAGGTCTGGTTTCTGTAGTCACTAGGTGGTGTCCGTGCTGCTGGTGTCCCATTTCTGAGGAGGCACTGTGAAACGCTGCTAGGTCCTGGGCCACAATTGCAACCTTCAGGACAAAGGGACACAGTCACCTGCCTGGCACATCTGTTCCTGCCCCTCACCTCCTACCACCACTGCCTTCAAAGCTGGGATCACTCATCAGCATAATTGTATTGTGCAAAAGAAAAGTTGCCATAATTGTGTTCTCCAAATTAGTACTACCTCTTAAAATATAAATATCCTCATGACTGCAGCAATTCAATAAATGCACCTACAGATCTGTGATTATCTACACAGAGATTAATAACTATCTTAATTTTCATGTGGTGTAATTTTAGAACAGTAGAGTGAATTTTAAGTTAAAGATAACATCATATTTGTACTAAAAGGTTAGCTGTTTTATCTGTACATTAAAAACCAACCCACAGATACAGACTTACACAAATGTTTCCCATCTGCCAAATAAATTACAGTCCCATAATATTAACCAATGAAATTATAGTTCATACTGGATTCTATACTTAGTTCTGTCACACATTTACTGTGTGACTTTGGGGGAAAAGCTTGGCATTTCTAGGTGTTACTTTACAGACACCTAAATGAATCATTGGACTGGAACCTCAGATTTTTTTTTTCCTTGGTGTCCCCTTGTTTTTAAAACATTAAAACCTACAGATGTGCAGCCCTGGGTAGGACACATCAGGCACTTAGGAGGGGATGTGTGGGCCAGGTGCTGGGAACTGCTGAGCTAAATCTGCATCAGTGGCAGCAGTGTGGTGGCTCAGGGCCTCCTTGCCACCAGCCCTGAGGGGACAGGAGCAGGAGTGCAGGGCAGTGACCTCACCTGCTGTCCCTCGGTGCCCTCTGCAGTGACCATGGCCACCGAGTGCGTGCCAGCCGAGGAGATGACGGCATCGTGGGCAGGGACGGTGATGGTGGTGCCATCTTGTGTCACCATGGTGATGGTGTTGCCGATGGCCTGCATGTCTGCCTGGGAAATGTTCACCTGCAACACACAGCAGCTCCTGAGGCAGGGAAGGGCTCAGAGCTGCTCCAGCCTCATTCCCTCTGCCCCACTGGCTGGGAACCAACAGCTCTGACCTTTCAGACACACTGACCTGCTCACAGAACACAATATGGCCCTCAGGAGTAGGAGAGGATGCAAGCCTAATCCCAGAGCCCACAACTCCATGTTATCCCAAATAACAGCATAACAGATTATTTATGCATGTGTCTTCCACAGAGGTCAGTGAGATTTAAGGTTGTACCACCTGACATACTTTGATCTTGATGTAAATACTAAACAGCCCTGTGAGGGCTTAGAATTTAAGCCACAAATAAACAATCCATAACTAATTAATGACATAAATTACTGATGTCTTCAGTACAAATGCATTAAGGTATCAGATATATAATTTGATGTCTGATTTACAAGTTAATAAATCCCAGAACTGAAGTCAAGCTGAAAGATAATTTAAATGTAAGAATTCTATGTCATGACTTCTGCAGGACTTCATTTTAGAGAGTAGAAATGCCAGTTACTTAGTATTGCTGCAATTTCCAATGTCCTGGCACTGTATCAGGACCCTTGGATATTTTATTTCAGTCTGAATTCAGAATATATCTTTCATATATATATTACTGGTACTTCAGTTGCCCTGCCAGCTGATACAGAAATTTTTTTCTCAAAAGCCTTCAATACACTGCCACAGTGAATTAAGAGAGTTGTGTTGAAATCCCCTTCCAAAGAAATTTCAGATGAAATCCTTAAAAACATGTATCCATGGAAAACATTAAAAAAAGCCATAGGAATATTCAAGTGGAAAATAGTATCAAAGGATTCCTTATCCTTTAGTTTATGTTAGAAACTGCACACTACCAACCAAACTGCTTGTAAAGGAAGCACCTGGACTGGAAAGACTTCCCACCCCTCAACCCCCCAAAGTGTGTGCAGAGAAGACAGTGAAGATGCTCCTCAGATATTAACAGCATAATCTGGGAATTGTGAGAAGCCTCAGAAACAGGCTGTATATATAGCAGTTGTTTAAAAAGTTCTTTTCAGAGTGACAAAGATAACAAGGAGAGACTGATCCCTAAGTCTGGAAAACTTTACAGTTTCATGTGCTGGAATATGTGGTTTCACTTAGGTACTCCACAGGAGCACAACCCTAAAGATATCCTGACACAGCTCCAAAGAAGCTTCTTTCCACCAACATTTATCCAGAATCCTGTGCGATTCCAGAGAGCCCATGGAGAAGCTACAACCTGTGCTCAATTCTCAGCCTGGTTTTGTCAGCATGAGTCACTTACATGTTGGGTTCCATCCTGGGATATGAGCGCTACTTGTTGGCCTAATCCTGACTGAGTGACTGTAGCAACCTGTGCAGAAATGACATCTTCTCCCTCAACACCTGTCACATAGGTGATCTGGGAGCCTTTGAGCACATCTTCACCTTGACCTATTGGATACAAAGAGGCAAGAGGTTACTTTCCATACTCTAAATGCTCCCAGGAGAGCCAATGACAAGTTCCAGTCTTGTCTGAAGGTTTTAAGCACTCCAACAGAAAAAATTAGTGGAAAGATGAGAAAAATAAAAGAAGGAAAGATACCAGAAGCAAGTCAGAAAGTCTTATTTTGGGAACTGGGGGTATAATCTTCTAGCAATCAGTTTAAAGACACATAAATACTACATATGCATTCAGTTTGTAAGCAAATATCAAAATGTGATAAACATTTCTAATTTATTCATTAAATGTTAACCTCTCCAAGCAAGGGACTCCATGCAAACACAACTGGATATTTTTTTTAAAGTTATTAATTAACCAACATACAGAAGAATCTAGTGACATGCCTTTGTGTGAAGATTTAAGTAAATTCATTATCTTTATAAATGTTTAACCTCAGCAAATAAATGTTATCATTCCTTTAAAGGAAGGAATTAAGCTATAGCAAGTCTGCTTGAGGCGTTCAGTGCAGTTTCCCACGAACATGGTGCAAAACAACTTTGCTAACCAAAACAGTTTGTGGGGATATTTCTGATCTTCAGGCACATCCAAAAATCACAATTTGACAAGTGGTGTTTGTCCTTTCACAGTATTTCCTTCAGTCTGATCCTTTATACTCATAATACCATGAGCAGCAAACTCTGAGGAGTACTGCAGCCCAGCAGCTCCTTTCCATCTCTGCCTCTAGGACAGTTTACAGAAACTGCTCTAAACCACAGCAAAGTCAGCCCCTATCACTGTACTGCAGAAACAGATTTTTTTTCTCAAGGCAGAGCCTTTACTCAAAAGATTGTCACCAGCCATGGTGTTACATATATACACACTCTTCGAAAAATCCCTAACAAAAGTCCAGTAAGTTGTAATCAGCTTAGATTCTCTCTGGTCCCTTAGCCACATTCATGTTTTTAGCAGGTTTGCTGAGATTTCAACTCAAATTTCTCTCTAAACCCCATGAGTGCTATAAATTAGTTTATTATCTGGCCAATTACCATGCAATTTCTGTTTACAAGTTGCCTACCACCCTAAAAAGTCTTACAGAGAAATTAAGATCTCTTTATTAAGTACTTTAACTTTTTATCTGTGTTTTCATTTCCTTGGCTACCAAAATCCCCCAGCAAAATACCATCCCCCATCTAGAGATTCAAAGGCTGCAATTCTAACCTGGAGGTGGCTCAAAGAAAGCCTCTTGTTCTTCCTCAATGGGCTCTGTATCGTTGTGTGCTGTCCGTTTGTGCATAGCAAGGGTAGAGATCTGCTTGTAGGTCTTCCCACAGTGATTGCAGTTGTAGGGTTTGGAATGAGTATGTACAACATGATGTTTGTATAAACTGGAATACTCTGTGAAACGTTTGTCACAGCCAGGAACTGTACACACATAGGGCTTCTCCCCTGTGTGGGAAAACAAAAGGGATAAAGTTAACTTTATTAAGGATGCACAGGAAAAATTGCCAGCAAATGATATTTGGGGACAAACCTTCATTGCCAACCATACTTTCATTTCAAAGGCAACAGAGAAGTTCAACGTCACAAAGTTTATCAATGCTACATCTTACTGTCTTTAAGAATTACTGCCAGTAAATTTGGCCCATTTTTCTCCCTATCATTCCATCTAAAACATCCTTCTGATGAAGGCTGAACGATACAGGCTGAAAGCTGCCATTACTGTCATTGTACTGAGAATTTTGTTCTTTTATTACTGGAAGCCCCATAGTTTTCTTCAATGATCAGATATATAGACTAGTATCACTTGAGTATTGAAAGCTCTGAGGAAATCCATAGGAAGCATGTTTATAAACAATTATGGTTTCATAGACCTTCCATTTAAAAATCAATGGAATGAGTGTCCAAATTACATTGTAAACTAAAAATATAAACTAAGCTATAAAATGTTGCTCTATGAAGCTTGTCTGTGTTTCTATAACATACATAATGCTGCCAAGCTGATTTGGCTATCATCACTGGCTTTTACACTTTAGAGTCTTCAAATTTGTGCTTATTATTTCTGCTCACCAAATAAGTATTTTCACATCTAGTCTATAAAAAAGGAAGTTTTGACCACAGTTCCAGCAGCAAGGAAAATACAGCTGGGATGAAAGGGTGACTCATAACAGTGAGCCAAAGTTAAGCTCAGACTTGTCCTTTACTGGTATTTATTTAAGAAACAGCTCACAAGGGAGGCAAGCCCCAGAATCATATTAAGGATTCAGCTCAATGCCCAGTTTAAAAAACCTTGTATCCAAACCAAAATGATTCTGCCTTGACAGCAAGGTGGGAAATCTAACTGCTTAAATATCCTCAGCTGAGGGGAGAAGACACCGAAACAGAATTACCAAGCCAAGTCATAAAATATGACTATACCAAATTACAGCACACCAAAACATTGTTCACAAGGAGAATGACAGTCTCTCCCAAGCAGATTCCACTTCAAAGTACAATAAATCACTCATGTACCTGTGTGTATTCTCACATGATTCTTATAATTAGTTGCACTGGCAAAAGCTCTCCCACATCCTGGCTCTGTACAGTAATAAGGCCTCTCGCCCGTGTGTGTCCTGATGTGAACCTTTCTAATATTAGATGTTGTGAATGACCTGCCACATCCTTCAAAGGGACACTTAAAAGGCCTTTCACCTGAAAAAGAGGACAAGAAAAGGTGCACAAGCAAAGGTTACAAAAGAATGAAAATCCCAAGTTACACTTAGACTTGAATGTAGGCACCTAAAGCTACCTAATTTTATCTGTGAGATCCTCAGTCAGAAATACCATGAACATGACAATGTGGAGTGTTCTAGTTTAGCCAAAATGGACAAAATTCAGGAAAATCATACAGTCTGTAAGCTAAATTATGATGCATTTAGATTAATACTTTAACATGTATAGAACAGACTGTTTTATACTTTAACAGTATAAAACAGAACTGATTCATGCATAGAATCAGTTGCTTGGATTAGCTTGCACACTGACCATAATCTAACAACTGTTTAACAACCTTCCCTATCCATACATATATTCTCCAAACCAAGTGTATCATACCATTGATATTTGACAATTGTTAATTCTTCAAATGAAAAAAAAATCTTTATGATTTAACATATAATCAGGATAAACATGGATTAAATGGATTAATACAACTTGTTATAGAAAGTATTAACCTTAAAAAAGAACAAACTTTCTAAAGAGAAGCAGCCATAAAACTCAAGTTTCAAACCCCCAGACCAAAGCAAATCACAAATACAGGTTCTTTTTGAGTAAGTCTTTCTGGGTAATACAAGTTTAAGCACAATAACTTACATCACTGCATTTCACCATGAATAGCAGACGAGGCCAACCAATAATACTGCAATAACCCTGACCTTTGAGATCTACCAAAGCACACAGAGAAGGAGAGCAAGGGGGGTTAAATTTGGAGACACTGGAGCCACTGACAGGATGTCCTGGGGTTATTTCCCACTTCTAGAGCCAAGTACATTCCACACACTGAGCTGCTTACCAAAGAGCAGAATCTGAGAGCAAGAGCAGAACACCACTACCTTTGTACCACTGTAGGTAATTAGAAATAAAAGAACAAGTCCTGATAGACAGTAATACCACAAAACTCCAAAGCAGATCGCTCCTTGGCAGAGGAAACTACAATTCACTCCTTCGGGCGGCTGTTTGGGGAAGGTTTTGCAGCTTCCTGCCAAGGCAGTGTGTATTTCCCGAACACCTCAGTGTTGTGTTACCATGGCTCCCCTAATCCTCGCTGCAGTCAGGACCCCAAACAGTCCCAAAGCAGCAGAGCCAGCCCCACCCAGCAACAGACCCTGCACCAGAAACCAGGTCAGATCCTCCAAAACAATGCCCGCAGGAATGTCACCAGACCGGTCCCTGGAGGGGCCTTTTCAAATTCTAATGTTCTTCCTAGCTACGGGGACCTGTTTCCAGGTGACAGCGAATTGCAGCTCTAGAAATGCAAAGCCTTAAGGCTGTACCCCCCTGCAGCACCATCCACAGCAGCTCTCCCGATGCCAGAGCCGCGTGTCTGGGGAGCTCATGGGGGAAGCCAAGGCAAGCATTTGATGGCACTAAAAGTAAGACTGGACTCTACTCAAAGACGGGGAGAAGTCACTTCTGGTTAAAACAGGCAGAAAGTGAAGGAAGTGCTGACCCTGATGTGCCTCCTAAAGAAGGGAAAGGTTTCTGAGGTGTGGGAGAGCCCAGGGCTGCCCCCTGCCCTGCTGCAGCTTGCAAAGGCATGAGTACACAGTGCTCCATCCACCTGCACAGAGCTGTGCTGCACTTTTCCTCTCATTCTTCAGCTTCCAGGAAACTCATAAATCTAAAATAAGACACCTCTGGCCCCTGCTCTGCTGGGAGAGTATGATTCTATTACTCATACTGTTCAGGTGGGTAGGTTACATAGGGCTGGCTCAAATCTTATCTCAACTGCTAAACAGAATTAAATTACCTCACGCCTTCTATGGCCATAAAAAAGGAAAGAAAACAGTCCACAGATAGGAAACCTTTCAGTTCATAGTCTGTACTTGATGCAGTGCATATCAACAGTCCTCTTCTAGAGCTGACATGTGTTCACACTGATGTTTAAAAATCAAAACAGTACTAATCCCAACATAATCTTTTTATGTATGGAAGTCCAAACAAGCAGAAATATCTTAATGTAATCCTGAGTTTTAACAATTTTTATTGCCTATATTTACATTCCACCCCCCATATTATAAGTATTTTTAACTTGAAAAAAATCTAAACCTCTACTTTTTTTATTGTTTCTTCTTGACTCACAGATTCAGACAGTTCAGTGGAAAAGCTTGTCAGTGTTCTAGCAGAGACATCAACATATTTAATGGAATGGGTTAGCAAGTGATAAATTGTCCTTCCTACATTTAGGGGTTGTTTTTCTTGAAGATCACAGGCACAAGGGAGACATTGTGCAATCTTATTTACACGTGTGTGCAGCCACAGAGTTTTGCAGAGTGTAGTGTGCTGTCTAGAATTTGTGGTTTGGCTTTCAATTTAATGTTTTTAGACAAAATGTAAGATTTTCTTTTTTGTGCCTTTGCAAGTTTTAGTAGCTGTTGGTTTTCTATGACACTTTGGTTTTTCTGCTGGAAGAAGAGATGTGAAATGAGGATAACAAGCTCAGAATATCAACTTTCATGGAGCTGGCATGCGAGTTATATTAAAGCACCAAAACTGAGGAACACTGAAGCCATTTCTAAAAGTCAAGACAGATTACTGAGGAAAAGTTCCTTGTTCTGTTACAGCTGCAGATGGAACTGTAAAGGCAATGAGTGACTCAGTGGCAATGTAAGTGAGGCACTGCTAAAAGTTAGTGCATTTGCCATAGCAGTGTGAATGCTTTAATACTTTTTCCAAGAAAAGCATGCTGGATTTAATGCTTACCATGCTGAAATGCTGCTGAGCTCACTGGGCTTCAGAAAGAGAATATACACAGGCTGATTTTGTCAGTATAAAGTCACAGAATGAGGAAAGAGAAAGAACTAAAAATGCACCGAGGTGAATGAACAAAGATGTGTGCTGAGGGTACCTGTGTGTGTCCGAATGTGCTTCTGCAGGTCTCCAGAAGTCTTGAAGGACTTGGTGCAGTTCTCCTCGGTGCAGCGATAGGGCTTCTCCCCGGTGTGCGTGCGCACGTGGCTCTTCAGCCCGTACCCTGGGGACACAAGGGTGTGAGCAGGGCACAGCACACAGCCAGGACACTCAAGGGTGTCAGCAGGGCACCCGCACATACAGGACACTCAAGGGTGTCAGCAGGGCACCAGCACACAGCCAGGACACTCAAGGGTGTCAGCAGGGCACCGGCACATACAGGACACTCAAGGGTGTCAGCAGGGTACCAGCACACAACCAGGATACTCAGAAACCAACACACAATCACAGCACTCATCAAACATCACCAGCAAAAGCTGGGCTTGCTATTCCCCTCAGCAGTGTTGATGAGTAAAATTTACTCTTTCATTCTTTGCAAGCTCTTCATTCTACCCGACAGAGCAGCAGATCTCTAGGTAACAGTTTAGAAATTCTTAATTCTTTATTTTTTATTGTTTTATTTATTTCCATTATTCTTCTCTTTCCCTTCAGAAGGATAAACTGCAATTATGTGGACAAATATTTACTCTGCCTGCTGAAGAAGCCATGTGCTGTGCATTCCATTGAGTTTTTACCTCTTCCCACTACTGTCATCAAAATGATATTTAATTATTTGCTCACAGGAAAAGCAATAACCACAAAAGAAGTCAGCAGTAAAATCACATATACAGGTGCTAACCAAGAGCAGTCATAGACACTCATTCTCTTTAAGATTACTTTTAGGAACTCATCATCATCAAAAGCTCTACCAGTCTGAAGTGAACTTTGGATCAGACCCTCTATCAATCATTTTGCAATGAGCATTTAAGCAAAATTTTCCTTTCAGCGCTTCACTGAAAAGATAATGAGCAAAGAAGCCTGAAACAGCCATTTTAGAAAATGAACCTGAATGTCACTTGTATCCACAAGTGATGTATAAATTTGTACAAAATAAAGTCTGTAAGAAAATGACATCTGCTTTAATTTCAGTGAGTTCTCCCCAAAACAGCTTAAATTCCTGTTCTTGATGTTTTTAAAAGCATGAAGCATGTTAACCAAGCTGAGCATTAATTCCCATTTATATCTAAAATAAACTCAATGTCATGACCCAACCCAGGAGAGTTCTTAACATTTAAATCAAAGACTACTCAGTACTTAAAGTGAATTTGGCCAAGGCAAGGATTATTGAACTACAACAGTACAATGGCTCTGATCAAAAGTACAGTGTTTATAAACAAACAGCTGTTTATAGCCATACACCAGTGTGTTGCAAAGGAAGAGAGTACTTAATGACATAGTTTTCAAATCCTTTTACAAACACTATGCAATTAAACTTAGGTGCAGCCCTTTAAAAGTGTGCTTGTTTCCCTTTTGACTCTTTGCATCAGTATTTATTTTGCTTGTTTCTATTCAAAGCAATTGTAGCAAATGTATTAGATCAGATTAAGTTATCTCAAAATATCTTATTAAAAAAACAGAGTCTGACTTTTCTAAGCATGATACTAATTTACATTCCAAGTAAAAGAATAAAATTTCAAACAAGTTTTGCTCTTCCACTTCCTTCCATGTTTCATTCCTCATAATTGCATTTTGCACAATCAAATTCCATCTCAGGGAGAGCATCATTTGTGAGCAGAGTAATCTGTACAAATGGAGAGTTCCCTTCATGACAGATGTCACTCTGATACAAATTCAATAAAGAACACTTAAACCAGCATCTTCTCTCAAAGTTCCTTTCAAATTTAGACCAGATGATCAGGAATCTGCCCCTAGCCTAAGGTTCAGCTTTCTATTATCACCTCATTTAACTTTTGCTATTAGTTTAATGGTAAGAAAAGCCTATTTTTAACATTATTTGACTGTAGATGACAGGAGAAGAGTGAGGGAAGTGTTGAGTGCTTCACTTCCTTCCCCCTTCAATAAGAGTTAAACCTCTCTGTCCTTTCTATTGTTACACTAGATGAAAATGTAACTTTTTCCAGTTGTCCCAACCAACTCAGCAGTTAAAAAAGGCAATATTAAAAATTTAATTTATTCACACACAAACACTAACAAGCAGGAGGAGCTAGTCTGCACAAGATTACCTGTTGCAAAGGCTTTGCCACATCCAGGATGCTCACACTGGTATGGTCTGTCTCCTGTGTGAGACCTTTCATGCACCTGTTGACATCCAATACAGTGACTTAATGAAATGCTGTATCTGGTTACTTCAGCACAGAAACAGTTCATTCTCAAAGCCCACATATTTTATTTATCTTACTAAGATTTACATTGAAGTGTCTGTTTATGTCAGTGATGAAAAAAATAACAAAATATGGTAACAACATTGGCCCTAAAACTAAAGATGTCTCTTTTCAAGGTCTAACCTGATCCTGCCAGTCAGTTTGGCACAAAACACTTGTGTAAATACACGCACAGTTGCCATCATGCACTACACTAAAGACAGGAGGTAAATATGCCTCAGAGCCCACTCTCTATCTGATTTTTGACTCCACTGAATGCTTCCAATGATGCTCTAATATTGCAGAAACCTCTACAGCAAGGACATCATTTTAGCAAGTGACTCCTAAAGCCAGCCACTCACTGACCCTGTGGTCAGAGACAAAGCAGCACTGTGAGCAGGTTACCTCATCAGCAAGGGACTGTGCCAGCCTCAGCTGGAATGTCAGCAGCCCTAGACCATTCACCATTTCAGTAACTCCTTTACTTAATTTAAAATAAGGAAGAGAATTAACAAGTCACCATCTGTGAAAAGATGTGCCATCTTTTCACTCTGAATATTAATTTTGAAGAGTGTCACTTTGTACTATGATGGTGAAATATTTCAAAACCTGAAATTTTTTCATGATCATGCATACATGTAAAGTTGATAAAACAAATGCTGGATTCCGGAATTTCTGTGACACTGCTGGTAGGAACAACCTCCCCATGCCGGCAATGAGCAGCTGAACATGATCCCAGAACACAAAGTAAACTCAGCTGAGCACCACCAATTACTGTAAAATCAATCCAATAAACATCTGACAAAACACCCCCATTGCAACTGGCTCCCCCTCAATTTCTATTACTTTTAACCACATAATCTTTCCAAAAATATCATATTTACAAAGTAGCAATGCACATTTTACATCTCCTCACCTTAAGATGGTGAGCTGTTGTGTACAGCTTTCCACAGCCATCATAATCACAGCGAAAGGCTTTCTCTCCAGTCTGCTGAGATTTTGCTGTCACTCTTGTTCCATGTCCTTGCAAGACAATCTTAAGTGAAAAAGAAAAAAAAAAATTAAAAACCCCAACCACATATTAAAAAACAAACAACCAAAAGGGATCAGAGCAGTTACACACTTTATTCTGCTATCAAGCCAGAGCTGATTTCGACAGGTTTCTTTTGTTTCTCTTTGCTCTGCTATGCCATGTATTTCTGAGCCCTCAATAAATAAACTAAAAAAACTAACTGAAAACCATGATGGAAACTGTAAAACATTTACTTGTACCTAGCAAATTTAAAAGCTTGCATTAATTAGTCCAATAACAAAGACAAACTATTTTAAATATAAGCACAGTGGTAAAATGACCAAATTAGTAGACAGACAAGTAATAGGTGCTAGATCTGTTCCTAACAGAAATCAGTTATAAATCAGACCACCTTCAAATACAAGTTCATGGAAAGGCCAAACAATTAAATATCCTTAGAATGAGCATTTTTTGAAAATGAAGTAAAGCATTTTGAACTTGGTCTGCCATGCATGCACTTTGATCAAACTAATTGGAGCGTTGTGAGCCAGGTTCTACTCTCCCTTGTGGCATGTCAAGAAGAAAATAAACAGCACAGCTTCAGGAGGCACCTGAAAACCCTTGTACAGGCTCCTTTCTACACTGACATGCAAGAAACATGAAAAAACCTGACATTCATACAGACAGAACACAAAAGCAGCAGCCCAAACATCAGCACTTGCACACAACTCGGTGCAAAGCAGTCGAGACTGTTTTATACAGTCTGTCCTTTCAAATCACCTCCCTTCTGTTACAGATCCAATTCTATTCCAAACTGTTAAAAGAAGATTTCACAGGGTGGGTGAGGAGACAATACTCTCAGCAGAAAACAGTGTCAGGTTGCTCACAGCCATATCCAAACAGGTTCTGAGTATCCCTAAGGGTGGACACTCCTGAAGCCTGCTCCCAACGTTCACATTCCCAACTAATTCTTTTGGCAACTGAGGCTTTGCAAACTGGTTCCCTTTGCTCAGTAGCCTGCTTAGACTGCCTCTTGCCATCCCTGAGCTCCATTCTGCTCCTCCTGTGCCCTGCTGTGATGCCCTTCTGCAGATACCAAGGAGGTTAAAATTCCCCATGAGGCCGCGGGCCTGCGCACACCAGGCTTGCTCCACTTGTCTGGAGAAGGCTTCATCTTCCTCCTGACCATAACCTTGTGCACAGTCACCAGCTCAGCACCCACTCTGGGCTGAGCCACCTCCCAGCCCACAGCCCTGTGCTGTTCCCTGTGGAAGGGCAGCTCCTGCTGCTCTCCTTCCCAGCTGGCCCTTTTAAGAGCCTGGATCCATCACCACAGCACTTCAGCCACCTGAGCCCCCAGCACAGCTCCCTGCACCAGGGAGGCTGCAGCAGCACACACCTTTATTTCCTCTTCCAGAGGATCACAGATTTCACTGCTAACACCTTTCCTACAGATCCTTCAGAGAGGATGGAATAATCTGGTACCTTCAGAATATTTGTAAGACTAAAGGAGCAAAGTTTAATACAAAACTTTTAATCAGCTGAAATGTTCAACTCCATCACTTCAGAAAGTCTCCTCTGGAACCACAGAGAAAAATAATCTGGATCAAGAAACCATTACTGCTACTATTGTTTAACCTATGACAGCATGAATCACAGAAATCACTTCAATACATTAAGGATCATAAAGAACACATTTGGTTGAGAACTGAAGCACTAATTATTTTTTTCCTATCTATATCTCTACTACTATTTCTTTGTTGTTCCAGCATATAAAAATAGTCATATAAAATATGTGTATACGTGCTAAGTTCTGCCATAAAGCTCAAGTATGCCAAAGTTGAAAAGAAAATGAAAACAATTCTGTAATGTGCTGATATCTGCAAGGAAATAACCAGTCATAATCCTACCAATATGAAGATGGATACCAAAACTGGGGAGGCAGCACCTTTCTAATAATGTGGAACTTACTGAGAGGAACTGTGTGCTTCAAATACTTTTAAACAGAAAGAATAAATAAATAGAATTTAACACCCTGTATTTTTAGGAGATCACAAATGCATCCTGATCTCAGAAAGGTAACACAGGAGAAAAACAAAGATCTTGGATCAGATTTTTCTACTGCACACATAAAAGCAGAATCATATAACCCAAGTGTGTATTATGAGCAGATGGGTATGACAGGTTTGAAAGGAAATAGTGCGATATCCATTTGGGCACACAGAGTCTTTTGTTTTCCCATGTAGAAATCACAAAGAGGTTTTATGCTTTTTTTTTCTTTGCTGAAACACCTAACTAACCACATGCAAGTCTGAGTGACTGCTTAGCAGTGTGACATCTGTTCTGTGCTGTTCCCTGTGGACTTAGAAAGTTTATAAATATACACCTATTTAATTCTACATCTAAATATGAGACTATTTTATAAATTATAGATTAATACATATGAATACAGAATGAGTTACAAGCAGGTATCTACTCAAATCAAGATATAAGAATGATTTCTATTTTTATACAGAACTGATAGCTGTGGGCCCCTTCAACTGAAGGCCAGCTGTAGTCACCTTATAAGGGTCAGAATTTGAGCCTAAGCCTCATTACCTTTTGGAAAGATCAGATCTTGTTTTGTTTGGAACATGCAGTGCTCCACAGATTGGCACATTTCCATATTGCACATATGTTGCCATATATGTATAAGATAAAACCACATTGAGTTTGCTTTGGGGCTGAAGCCAAAATCAATATTTAGGTGGATACTGATTACAAGTAATTCTGCTTAATTGGCTCTTACTTCAGGTAAAACCAACAAAGCTTTTATCTTACTCCTCCTTGAATTTTGCCTTTCATTGGAATTGTACCTCTATTCCAACCTACAAGTGCAAACCCTCTAAATTTCTTGATTTCATTTTCTGGAACGTGGTCCAATACAGTAAATAATGTATTAGTTATTCTCTCCTTCCACAGTCATGCCACACAGGCAAAAGTAAAGTGTCTGCAGCTTTAAATATTGTGGGATCTAACTTGTAAAAGATAAAAATAGAAAATTTGAGCTGTGAGAGGTGAGCCTATAATTATTCCTTTCACAGATTATGTATTTTGAGCTTGGAAGAAGACATTTTTCCTCCTTGCCTACTTCATTATTTCTTAAATTAAGCAAACAGGAGAAAAAGTTTGCCCAGAGAAGCCCCATTCTCAATGCAGTGACTTTTCCATTTTTGATTTTTTCATCTGAACATGTGAGGATATAGAGTTTTTAGTGTTATTTTAGTTGCATATTTGAAGCCCAGGATATATTTTTGTCTTTTTCTTTAATAAAATACATTATAATGCCAAATACCATTCTCCTTACATAATTTTATGGATCTTAGGGAAAAAAGCTTCAGACTTAGTAAGTTGCACCTGTATTTTCCATTACCTTTTAAACTTTTACATTAATCTTTTAACATTTAAAGGTTTGTAAATTCTGTGTACAAACAATATGGATCCAGAAGAAGCTGAAGTCTTTTCTCTTCTTTAAGCATTCTCTAGGAGCAACACTCTTAACTACTGATTCCTTATAAAACCTGCTGTAAAGGTCAGGGACCCTAACAGGGCAAGTGGAACCAACATAAGTCATTAAAGAGAGAGAACAGTTCCAGACCTGTGCCTGGAATGGTCTCTCCTAGAAGAAATTTAATAACTGAGACAGCATTTTTCTGCTTAAAATACTACCAAAAGTCAGCTCCTTCTCTGGAAAGAACTTCTGAAATACTTACACTCTTATTGAAGAAATACTCAGGTCAGCTTGAAAAATCTTAGCAAGCCAACATAATTTTTAATTACCTTTTAACAGGAAAACCCCCTAGACAACAGTAAGTATTAGAAGATCTTTTACACTCTTGTGACAGGATCTTGTACAGTGATACTATAATCTATCTGTATAGTTTGAACTCCACAACTTCTGAAGGGTAGAAGCAAACCATAGTTCATGGCTACAGGACTCCCTGTCATGCACCTTGCTGGTCAGAAAAGACAAAAGAAATAAATATATTTAACTATTTTGTATTAAGAACATACCTGCATTTTTTTATCTTGTTCATTTTCACCTATAATTCCCGTGCTACTAACACTGTCATTTCCATCAATAGACACCTGAAAAACAAAGTTGAAATGGGAAAAACATTTACACCAGTTACTTTTATTCATCTGAGAAACAGATTTCCTGAGACAGTTCTTGGGTTTATTATTTCATAGCTCTCTAGCTCCCTCTTGGAACATGGTTATCCCATAGCACATGAACTTACACAAAAATCACCACTTGCAGCACCTGCATTACACAACAGCAAAGTTGTTTTTTAACAAGCTAGGAAAGACTGCAAGAACTAAGGATGTTAAATTAATAGACTGACAAAAGTATTACAATAAATCAATAAATTTAACAATACTAAGTACTGACAAAAAACCCCAAACATTTACTTATTTTATAAAAAAGATATCTCTCTCACTCCATTAAGCAGAATGTACTTGTTCAAACAGCACAACTGCTTTTTGAATCAAAATACCTAAGACAATATGCTACATCTCAATTTGAACAAGTCAAATTACAGTTAAGAAAGGACTTGGGTATTGCTACATAGGTTTGTTTTTAAAGACAGTCTCCAGGAGGAGAAAGGTATTGCTGTTTCCAAGGAGCTCATAAAAATTTTTGAAAGACTTAGATGTTAATGTGAAAGTTTTATTTAAATAAAAATGTAATTACCCAATTAAAAAAACACCCCAAACTCTCTCACAAGCAGCAGCTCAAAGAACAGCATGTTACTGGTCACTATACAAAAATTAAAGTATATTTTGCATAGTTTCCCATCCCTAAGTTGTCTCTGTACTAACCACAGGCATCCACAATAATCTCTGCCTCCATTATATTCAGGGCTGAGACTGATGCACCTAAGCCAAGTCTGAGTGATTTTATTCTCCAGAGCAGTTTGGCAGGACCCCTCCCTCCCCAGAGCACAGCAGGCCCTGAGATCACTGGGGTTGTGTGCAGCACCTTGCCCACAGCAGCAGCCCCAGCAGTTTGCCTGGAGACTGGCAGAACTCATCCCAGGAGAGGTTTTCACACACTCTCTCTAATTTACACCATTTACTTTTGGGGACTTTGAGCTAAAATAGTAATAAGGAAAGTGCCCAAACAGAGGTAAATTTACATTGCAAAAAGATTGAAAAGAGTGTCAGAAAGCAGGTAATTTTGGGGTGTTTTTTTCAGAGGGAAACAATAGCTATTGTGGGACCATGTCCCTCAGAATTTTTAAAGGAAGAGGAGAGAACCTGCACAGAAGGGAGACCTGAATTACTTCATCCTGAACTTCCTGCTGTTGGCAGAGAGAAGAACTGCTGACATGAAATTAGAACTTGATCAACTATTGGAAACAAATTATGCCAAGAGAACGTGTGTGCACGTGTTGAGGCAGGCACAAATCCCAGTTCCTGCACTCTGCCAGCAGCTGGGATGGCACAGGAGAGCAGCTCATGGAAGGCAAGGATGTGCTGTAACCTCTTCACCATTCCATCACTGAGAGCAATGACCTTTTCTCCTGGCTTGCTCTGGGAGGATGGTGCCATTGACTCAGCCCAAAATTAGAGGGCTCAAGTTAAGTCTGCCTGGGCTTGGCATGTTGGGCAATGTGGCACTTTCCTGCCTCAAGGGAGGGCAATGAAAAATGTACATGTTTCACCACTTCTGGGGAGTCTGCTTGGACCTCTTGGTATGAACTCTCTTATATTCTACACTGACACCTTGGGCACCCCACTGATTTTTCTGTTTCTGCCTGTTGCATAGGATAGGGAAAAAAAGAAGAACCAACACTCTCCAAATTCACCTTTCTTTTCTTTGCCCTTTAAATTTCAAAAAGAAAGCCTTAAAAGAACCAAACAAAAAAAGACACCCAACTTTAAACTTCTCTTTTGCAGTATTGTAAGAATTCTGGAAGGATTCCAGGGCAGATCTTTGAGCTCCTCCTAAAATAATCTCCTTTATGCTGAAGAAAGATTTAGTCTGCCTTCAAATAAAAACACAAGGGTACCTACATTGAGTTAAAGTAAAGGCCATACCACTGCATCATTTCAGTTCCACCAGCAGCAGATGCTGGAGAACACTAAACAAACAGGCCAAGCATGTAGTGATGCATTCCCCATAATATTCTGCCAACCTCCAAGCAATTTGTGGTTTATGAGCTTCCTGAACGTGTTTTCATCTAATAGACATGGACACATTTTTCTTCCATGAATTTATCTAATTACTCCTTGAATCCAAGGACACATTAGTGTCCACAATATCCTACAAGCAGTGCTCGACTTTGAGCTGTTTGAAAAAGCATCTTCCTTCTTCTTGAACCCATCACATGAGAGTTTCACTTGATGTTTCCCAGTTCTGAAACTGGTGTAGCCAATGACAAGGCATTACTCTTCTTTGGGCTACCTAAAATTTTATAAAAACCTATCATATACTTACCATGTGTATTTCATTTCTTCCTGTACCTTTCTCAAGGTGTCTGAAACACCAGCTATGAAAAGTGTACCTTGCCTCACTATGAAGAGTGCACGGACATGGAGAAGAATCACAAAACCACATTTCCTCTTTTAAGAGAGATCCAGGGTTCTGACCATTGAGCTAATATTTGGTTTTGTACCCAAAAAACCCCATAAACCAGGTATAGTGCTCGGAAGCTCACTCCTATTGTCTGTCCCCTAAAGGTTCCAGCAGTACCATTCAGAATAAGTTCTGAGATGAAAGCTCAAAGAAAATATTTTTTCCTCAACAAACACAGAAGTGCACTACAGGAAACATATTCACATTACAGAATTAAAAACCCCATATTGAGTTAAATAGGATGAAAATGCAAATTTATTTGCATTTCTTCTGTTTCTTTTTCACCTTCTCAAAACATATATGTATCAGAAATTATGATTAATATAGCCACCAGTTAAGAAGGGCAAAGTTGTGATTGATTTAATCAAAATGAAATAGTACCTGTGGAATGCATAAAAGCTTGTGATTACAGCTCAACTAACATTGAATTACCTTTAATTTCATGAAATGTTAAATCACAACGCAATTTGACTGTCTGCCTTAGGATCTCTCAATTCTAACAGACAGAAGCATAATGCAAAGAACAGTGAATAAGCTATTTAATTATCCTAACTGGCCTCCCAGATTTTGACAACTCTCTGTGACATTAAGAGGACACACTTTAAAATATATTCTGCTCTTTTTCCAGAGCAGTACAAGCACTGATGGCAATTATCCAGCAACTGGGACACAGCTTAACTAAAGTCATGGAAGTTGCATCACCCATTACCATACTTACATCATGCTTTAGAGAGCCCAGGAAAGTGAACAACATGAATTTTGTGCATCCTACTGCATTTTTACTATTGAAAATATAGATCAAAGAAGTTTCTTTCTGAACTGTCTAATTGTCTTTTCTACACTTCATACCATGTGCTGCCCTTGCTCAGTCCACCAGGCCATTCTCTTCCCATTCAGGGAAAAAAATTAATCCAGCAACAGTGCCTGAACAAGAATAATTCAACTTTGTCCTTCTTTGCAAACAGTGTTCTTCCAAGAGACTCCTTTACAATGCTTATAGAATAGAGAAAATTATAATTTAAATGTCTAAATGGCTTTCTAAATCCTCCTCCACTTCAGTGTTCAATCTTTTCTCCTTTTTATGGAACACTATGCACCAGAGCTGCTCAGGACAGTGAAGCACTGTCATGAAAATTTGGTGTTTTCTCCGAGTCTGAAACTCTCCAAGTTACAATTTCTTAACCAACAGCTGGCTTGTGCTGCCAGGTATGTTGTGCTGTACATTTTTTAAGACATGATGGCTACAGAAAAAGCCTTGCAGAGTACCTTGGCTGCATACTGCTCCAAAGCACTGATGGTGTCAGGGTCGATGGCAGCATCTCCTGTGTGCAGTCCTGCCACTGTGCCATCAGCCTGGATGGCCAGAATGGTGTCAGACTGGGGCATCTGCACCGTGTGGTGGATGTAGGCAGTGGTTCCATCCTCCAGCTGCACAGCCTGCAGGGCACTCTGGTCATAGCTGTCTGAGGAAAGATATTGCACAGTGTTAGGGTTCTGAAAGGAGCAGCAGTGTGTTACATGGCAAACTACTGCTCTCCAGGAGGTGTCTCCTGAAGTCATAGACACATATCAAATATATGGGAAATAGAACCACTAGTATATGAGATACATAAACACTTAAAGTAATACTGTGAATAACACAGGAATTTCTTTTCAAGACAACACCTCCTATAGTTTTATTTCTACACCTCAAAAAGTTAAAAAAAATTATATTGATCTAGTTTTATTTATAAAGGAAATCAGGAACACAAATATACTTTCCATTTCAAATCTACTTATAATAAAATGAAAATAATATACCAGATCTATTGATATCATTACTTTAGATTTTAGAATTCATAGATCTCACATTTTAACAAGAGAATCATGCAAACATAAAAAAGAACCACAAAATACAAAACAACTTTTAACAAAAAAATTCCATTACATTCTTTCCTCTTACTATTGTTGGTTGTAAAATGTAATTGTCACAATGGCTTAAACAGTCTTCAAATACATACTTGATCACTTTTTCTAGAGAAGTGGTACCATTTCCAAGACTAGAGTAATCATCTTCTGCAGAAACATATGTTATCTGGAATAACTACATTTGCATTCTTGACACATTCTTAAATGTGTCAGCTGTCACATTTTCTGCCCTACTACTTAAAGGTATAAACTCACTTTAATGTGATCCTGGGCTAAATAAACAGTGAAATACACTGGGTTTGATTTCATTTATAACTGTTATAGGAGGCCCAGGTCAAGAATTGAAACAGTCATTTCAACAATTTTTGGCTGTCAAAGTTAAAGCAACAAGTAATTTACACTGGGAATCCCATTAAGATGATAATTTTTAGAGATTAAAACACTGAGTTAAACAGTGCTGAAGTTCTGTTGGACACTGAGGTGACAATGCCACTTGGCAGAGCAGTTACCTTTTGAGGTGTGATGGATAAATGCTGTGGTTCCATCCTCCAGCTGAACTGCCTGTCCATCCTCCAGGCGCAGGCTCTCCCCTGCTCAGGAGAACAATTAGAGCAAGACTTCAGAGAATCCTTAGATGGAAAGATTAAACACTAAATACCCAGGATTACAAAATACCCAAGATCTCTTCACGATTAGTTCCATTAAAATAAGAAATCAAGCTATTATCATGACTGTTGATTACTTAATAGCAATATTTATCAGTAATACATTATTTTAGAACATATTTCTTATATTATTGCACTCACTGCTTTTAGGCATAGGTACATGTTGAACATAAGCAGCAGAACCATCTTCTAATTGAATCACTTGGCCATCCATTAATTTGCCATCTGAAATACACAGAATATTGTTAAGAATTCTAATTGTGTAACACATCACAGTTTTAATACACAGTAGATACTTTCTAGATTAACATATAAATAAAATATCAACAAGAAATAATGTTTGGTAAATAGAAAGCACAGCGTGACTGTACAGAGCTTTTAACATTCTGGGATAAAAAAGCAGAAAAGGTCTGCTGTCCTATTTGTTAGGCAGAATGTTGATATCTGGGTTTGAACAATAAAGATCTCTTCACTTTTGTTTGACTCGTTCTGAATTTCATTTTTACATCTTATTAGCAGCAAAACAGAAACATTTATTTTATAGCATTATCATAATTCCCCACTGGAATTATCCTCAACAACAATTGGAGCTTCAGAAACATTGTACAGATTTTGAATGATTTTACAATGCAAAGAGAGGGTTAGAAAGGGGAATACCACTTCGGTAGCCATCAGTTGGCAGTGCCCTGCCTACCTTTAGAATTGTGCTGGATGTAAGCAGTGGAGCCATCAGCCAGGGTGACTGCTTGCAAACTTACACCTTCCATGTTTTCCAAGTTGTCACCATCTAGCAAGGAAAAAAGTTCACCTTCACTACAACCAGCATGGAACCCTAGAAATCTCAGCTGAAAGACCTCCAAAAATTATGACATTCCCTCAAAGCACACTGCTTTGACAAATAAGAAGAGCAAGTATTTCTTACTTGCTTTCTGGTTTCTAAGCCTGGGACACATACTAGGGTCACATATTCTAGATTTTTGCTCTGTAAACATGACAGCTAAATGTTACTTTCCTTAACCACAAAAACACAATGTTACTGAATAAATAACTACAAAGCTGAGGTTTTAGGAGAACTATGAATTAAATCATCAGAGCCAACAGTGAAATAATGACACACATACTGTATTGATAATTTTGTTTTGTACAAACTACTTGTCATTAACACACACAAAACTATTTAGATTAAAATGCAGATTTAGGACAGAGTTTGTAATCATGTAAAAATCATAAAGCTGTCAGGAAACATCAAGTTTAAGCTAATTTCAAGTCAATCTATTTTAAAACTCAACTTGCTTAATACATACTTAGATATCAACTGAATTTACAAAGTATAAAATAGCAAGACTATACAGAGAATAAAGTCAGATTGTATATTTCATATATTTTTGGCACATTTACACTTCTATTATTTAAGATAATAGAAAGATAATTTCCATCCAGAAGTAAATTAGGGATTTTAATCAATTTCAGTTAACGGTTTTTGATGGATTTTTAATTCGGAATAAACAACATGAATGTCAGTGTTTTATCTGAGTTTCAAAAAGAAAAGACATAATAATGTAGAGGTATTTTAACCTGAAGGGTCACCTTGCACAGCTACAGCTTCTGTCAGACACAGAGTCACGTGCTGGGCCTCCATTCCTCCTCCAGAAAACTCCGTCATTCCCTGAGAGTCTCGATTGATCTGAGCTAATAACATTGTCTACCTAAAAGAAAGGATTCAAAAACAGAACACTGAAATACAGAGCCATATTCTCAGTTAATTGTGATTTTTATACAGCTGCTACAAATATTTTGCTATGTTTTGCATTAAATAGCTGCAAAAAGTTATTGATTTATCTGGAAAATACTTTGAAGGAATAAGAGTTATCTGAAATAGATAAGTATTTTACTTTATTTAACAATTAACTTAGATGTTAAGGACTTCAGGTAGCAGTTATTAGTATGAGGTGCATCAACCACACTTAAATTTCAGTTAAATATAAATGATTTAACCAATGTACAAAGACTAATGTGGTAATGACAGTACAGATAATGATACCTATTTGTCCCCAGAATTGAAATAAAGCTGACAATTCACCCATAGTCACCCATGACAACAGCAGGGCTTTATCTGTATAAATCAAAGATCTCTCCAGTGCCGTAAGAGGTTTAAAAACAATGACACACTGCAAAAGTCTAACTGAACAATTCAACTATTTCCCTAGATTTTTCCAGAAAGGTTTCTGTTTAAACAAAAACAAAACAATCTGTCCTTTAACATAATGAAGTATCCCATGATAAAATTTGTTAATTATACAAAAGGCCAGTGATCAGGGAGTGACTGCTGTACCTCACAGAACCAGACAGAGCCATCCCCCTGCATACTCACATTTTTACCAGCCATGTTTTACTATGGGAGATCACACCACACCTTTTAATTCTAGTGTGGTTCCATGACCTGCTGGTTCATAATTCAAGGCTGAGAAGAATAATCTAGGGGGTTTAATTTATTTATTATTACCTTTATAAATATATTTAGCTATTGTTACCTCTACAGTCCTGAAATCTGCTCTTGAACAAGCAATTCATCAACAGTCTCAAAGACCACTGAGAAAATTGTATTTTTCTCAAAACTAAGGAATAAGGAGCACAAGATTAGACCATGCAGGTACTCTAGTGTGCCTACAGTATTTAAAAAGGTTGCCACACTAATTTAGTAGTTGAAAATTACACCCAAGCAGTATTTTCCAAATACATCCAAGTGTATAAAGTGAGCCAGACTTCTTCCTCGAGCTACAGGCTCAGTTTCTTATTTCCAGTTAATGGAACAGATAGAACTGAACAAAGGAAGTGGAAAGCAAGGGTACCTTCGGGAAAGTTTTAAGCTCTCCTGTCTTTCTCATATGTTACATTGAAAATCATACAAAAAACCCTATAAAATTACTAATGATCACTACATAATTCTGTAATAAATATGCCTTCCAAGATTCATGTCCTCATAACTTCTCCCTGGAACATTAAGGAAATTAAAATACTGGCTTGCAATAAGGAATTTGAACCTTGAACAACTGGCATCAAAAAGATACAATAAAGAGAGAAACCAAAATATAATCCAAAAAGGGTGTGAGGCGATTTTTCTAGGATCCAAGAGAAGATGGGTAATTCCTCCCAACATCCTTTTCAGGAAAAGAAGCTTTTACAGAAAATGAGGCCTCTAAAAGAGATGTAATACACACAAAAAGGAGAAGTCATCCAGACTAAATTGCATTTATAGAGATGTCTCTGTAGAAAATGAAATAGGAAAATTTGTTTGGATACTATAATCTATGACAAAGAACTATATGAGAATATAGGAGATTCTGAGTTCAACCTGTTCCTTGTCCATTACTGAGTTTGGAAAAGTAACTTCTTTTCCTATTACTCATTTATCATTGCCCATCTCAAAATAAGCAGAAAATTTTCACTTAGGAAGCAGTTTGCTCACAAACCAAAAATCAATCATGATGTAGCTACAGAGTCAGCCTGAGCAGGCACAGAAGCAAAGCAGCCCAGCATTCATGGACTATGCAGCAAATAAGATCAGAAAACTGTTGCAGTTAAAAAAAAAAAAAAAAAGAGAAAAACCACCCCCCCCCCCCCAAAAAAAAACCCCAAAAAACCCAAACAAACAAACAAAAAAACCAAGAAATCCTCAACAACAATCTAGCAGCAAAAGGACTTTTATCCAGCACAGCAGTGAGGGAGGCAGTCCATGCAGACAGCTGCAGAGTTCTGAGTCTGAGCAGAACTAATGGCTTAAGGGGTGAGTAGCTACTTTGGAAGGAAAATAAACCTAATGCCAGATACATTCAAGGGCTGCAGGAGCAATAGTTTTTGTTTAAATTGTTTCACAGTGTTTGTTACTGTAGCATCGTTATCAACTCACACACACTGAAAACAGCTGAAGGAACTGCTGCACACAGAACCACGGCTACAACTTTCCAGTTCCAGAGGATCTGGTCAATCTTACAACCTCACACAAGAACTCAGCAGCAATGCAGCCTGTTTCTCCCAAGTGCAGCTCCTTTCAATGGTCACTTCCAACATAGCCTTTTCTCAAGCCTCTGTCCTTCCACTAAGTTCTTTATCCACAGCTCCATCCCTTCTCCTTGTACCAATTTTCTCCTTCAGTCCTAGATACCAAATTTCCAGGACATGCCTCTAATCCCATCCTTCTCCTCAGAACAATATAAAATACTTCCATGCCCACACCAACTCCTTCTGCAACCAGTCTCCAAGTCTTCTCTTGGTGCTGCTCTGCTCTGTGACCCCCTCACAGCACTGTCTATCCCTTTCTGTGCCACCAGCTCATGCTCAGACCCACCTTGGAACTGCATTCCCCGTAAGAGGCTGGGGCACTGGGGTCCCCCCAAACACCATCCCCAGCTGAGACTCCCTCTGCAGGGACACAGCAGCTCTGCTCTGACACTGCTGTGCAGGGAAAAGAGCCCTCAGCCAAAGTGACTGAGATGTGCTGCTCTTCCAGGCTCTCCTCTTCCTCCCCACTGGAGAACACTGACTAGCCAGACAGGGCAGGAAGGACAGATGCAGGAAGGAAGGACAGATGCAGAGCTGGCTGTGCTGCAGAGAAAAGGATCAATCTGTCAGAAGTAATGATGTCACAATGTCATCTGGTGAGAGTAATCAAATACAGGAACAAATTGCCAAGCCAGGTATGGACTCTCCATCCTTGTAGAGGTTCAAAGCACCTTGACACAGCTCTGAGCAACCTGGGCAAATGGGACTTGCTCTGATCAAGCCTGAGCCAGATAAATTTCTGCAAGTCCTTCCAACTTCACCTGCTCTCTGGTAATCATTTCAATAATGCATACATCTACAACAGCATCACCTTGCTGTTCATGTATCATCCACCCTGCAAAATCTACTCTCCTAACACTTTATAATTTGCTTGGCTTTTTCAAAACCAGTTGGTTTTCACCAAACTCAAATCTCCTCCTTGCCTCCACTTGAGTCACTCTCTTCAGTTTCCATCAAATTTGTCTCCACCATTTTTTCAATCTGAATCTCACCAGCTTTCCCTAATTCATCATTGCTTTTATTCCTCTGCCTTTGCATCAGTTAGCTTCTTTCTTTGAATTTCCTGTCTGCCAGGAGTTCTGTCAATGAAAATCTAGGAGAGATTTCCTTTACCCACTTCAAATACTGCAGCTCATTAGTTAAAGGCAGCTAAAGTAACCATTTTTAGGAAAAGCCAGGATCCCTGGGGTGGAGCCCACATAGCAGCTTGGCAAGATTGACACACGTGGGGCCTGCTCCATCTCAGGAGCTGTCTTACAGAAAAGACAAGTCCAGGCTCAGAAACCAAGCACTCACTGAAGTGAAAATTTGTGAGCTGACTTTGTGAACTCTTGCAAATCTTCACAGATCCCAGGCAAGCTGCAACTGTCAATTTGCAAAGGCGCATCAATGACGATATCTGGGCAGACTTTCACAAGGACACTAACGTATCCTGCATTCCTGACATGATTAGTCACCAAAACATGTCTATGGTATCCATGCAGAGAAAACCTTACCATTCTTTGAGATGGTTCAAACACTTCTCAAAAGATCAGCCTGAGGCAAAAAAATCTGGCAGAAAATCTCTGAACTGAAGAGTGTGTCCAAGCACAGGCAGCCACCTCCTCTCTAGCACTGATCCATGCCTTCAACAGCATCCAGCAAAACATAGAGGTGCAAGCTCTTATTAAATAATAAAAAAACCACAACAAATCAAAAACAAGCCATCACCCCCTACAAATTATCTGAACAGAAAAAAAAAAATAGGCACACATTAAATTCTCCATACTTGGAAACCAAAGGAATGTGAGGGGGGAAAGGACAGTTAAAAACAAATAATTTTTTTCAAGAAGTCGCCTATCTACAGAGCACCTCCTGTAATTTTTCCTTCACCAACACGCAAACAAATAGAATTTTCTGGGAGCTATCACTCGTTTTGGAGAAAAGATGCAATGTTAGAAGAAAGGTTTTTATGTAAACTCAATGTAGCAGCTGGAAACAGGAATCTCCACTAAAAACTAGGAATCAGCAATTAAAAAACAGCAGGTGGGATTCAGGCAACTGAAAAGCAAGGGGAGAGCTGGCAGAGGGCAAGGTAGAGGCCATGGCTGCTCTGGGGCAGAAAGGGGATTTGGGGCACTTGGGAACTCCAGCAGCTGAGAGGACAGCCCAGTGTGGCTGGAAAAAAGCAGAAATTAGCAATTTAAAGAATAACTGGACTGCTGGACAAAGGAAAAATCCTGCAGAGACAGTAGCAGAAACTCCTTAGAGAGACAAAGATGATGCTTAATGGGAAGAGGATGATTAATGGGAAATAGAATAAAGTTTGTAATAGCAGGCATGGAAGAAAATTTACTGTTACAAATACAAACTTAGAATGTGCAAACTGGGAAAGAATGACAGGAAAAAAGCTACTCTAGACATTCACCAACCTTGTGATTGTTCACTCCCCTCATGCAGACAGCACTGAGAAGTTTGAAATAATATGCATTTATTTCATTTGAAAGGAAACATCACTTTTATTTTAATACACTTCTAAATAATGTACAAAACCATTGTAATTTTATAAAACTTATAAAAACAGCAATAAAAAACCAATCAAGAAGGGTAATATGGCAAATAATACATAGCCTCATAATAGTGAAACTTTTATTAAGGAATTTAAGAAAAGTGTATTCCTATGTTTGACAAAACTGGATCCCAAAATCAATTCAAGTATGTCCGCAGTGTAACATTATGAAGATTTTTCTGAATTAAATACTGCCTACCTTAGGGTCGTTGTCAACTGATATGATTGCAAATAGCAGTAATTTCACAAAACTAGTATGAGCAACAAATGTGTGAAAACAGAAAAATAGTACCTATAATTAACAATTGGGTTAAACACACTTCAATTGATAATTCCTGTGTTACAGCCTCCTGAGTCTCAGTGCAAAAGAAAGTCTGACAGACTGGAAAACTGACTATTCCACACAAAGTTTTTTCAGGCAACCCAAGAAGACTTTTAGCATTTCTTCCCCCACTAATTACATAAAGTCACTTGTCATCTTTAAGCTCAGAAATAGACACAGGAGAACTAAGACTCTTTTTACAATCTTACCTCTGCTCCCCTACGTAGCTGCATGATAATCTTTTCCAGTATTAAGCAGAAATCTGTAACAGGGTCAGAAATTTAATCTAGATCCTGTGGGTGCTTTGATCAAACACTTCAGGAGACTGGGATTTCCTTCTTCATCAACAGCCCTTATCTTTTCCAGGATTTTACTGCACTGAAAAATTGGGGTTTGTGCTGTTGTCAGTCAGACTGACTTTCAGTAAACACAACTTCTTAATTGTTATGTGATTTCTCACATAATCTCAATTGCTTTTACTGTATTTTCTCCAGTCTCTTATAAAGGCAAAACATAATTAAACAGCAATTTCCACCACATTAATCATCCACAGTATAAAATGGAAACAAGGCTGAAATACAGAATATAAACCTCTCCTACAGAATCTGGTAACATCAGCTGGATTCAGATAATTTCACAGCAAATCACACAATCACTTTCTAATTTCCTACATGGTAAAGAAGTGTTGTGAATAATAAATAACAGTCCCTAAATCTGGTCCTGCAGAAAAACCTGACCAAGAGCAAGAGCACTATCAACTGCACAAGCACAACATACACACCCTGAAGCAGTCAAACTCAAGACTCCTTTTTATTCTTTTTACAGTATTTCAATGTTTCTGTTCCACAAGAGATACATCCTAATAATAATGCAGTTCAAGACTAATTCAGCACCACAGTGTTTGGTATTTCTTCAGAAACAAAAAATAAATGCAGGACCAAATTTATCATTGCCTTAACCACACATCAGTCTGACTTAAGTGTGAGCAGTGGAAACCACATTTAGCCTGACAAAATTACCTCATGTTCCAGCAGTCTTTTTCCCCCAAAAGCCATTTCCATACAGTTTATAGAGCAAATGCTATCTACAAATTGTGACTGTTAAAAGTATGGTCTGATATCAATGCTTGCATTTTATAGATATAAAAAGAAAACTGGATTAACCAGTGCAAATAAAGAATATTTACAAATCCTTACTCTAACTAATAAGATTATGTGTGTGTATTTTCATTCTGTGGGAATGTGAAGGTTGCTATTATTTTTGAAGGTACGGCATTTAAACACAGGAAGATTTAGAAAGTCACCCACCAACAAGTCCTACACATGTGAGAACACTCAGGCTGATCCCAAATATGACTTCTAACTTCACACATTTCTTGAATATATTAGAGAAGAAATTACTGGTTAATGAAAGGAGGCCAGAGTAGTTCCAGCAACACTGAGCTGTCAGCAGTGCTGACAGAAGCTAACTCCTTCTGCAGCTCTGGGACAAGCAGCTCACAGCAAACACCCAGTTCCATGACCACATCTGCCCTGGGTGCCCCATTCCAGCAGCATGGCTTACTAAGCCAGAGGTCTGAAACAGATCCGGGAGCTTCCAACAGAGCCAATTCCAAAAATCCTGCATGGAAGCTGACAAGCAATTGAGACCCACGCAGCACTGTTTGCAGAGGTATAGACACCAGGGTTCCCAACCTTTTATATTAATTAAGTACAAAAAACCATATTAATGCAGCTGGTCAATGAGCAGCATGCTAATGACTCGGTTATTATTATTAGCTGTAGTAGTACACAGCAGCAGCAGTCTGGCTGGAGGAAGAGCCACCCATATAATCTGTCCCAAACACCAGATTCCAGCATGCCTGAAACATCCCTGATCATTAGGAATGCTGGGCTGTGTGCATGGAATGCCTTGCAGACCTACTGCAAATGCAACTGCAGAACTCACCTACCCAAACTGCCCATCAAGTTTCTCTCCATGCAGGCGGTATTTCTCGTTCATTTCTTCTCTCCTGGCCAAATTTGTATTATCAGTGCTCAGACATATCTTCCTTTCTAAAGAACCTCAATCCCATTTCTTTATTGCAGACTGACTGGTAATAAATTACCTGTGTGTGTTTTAATAGGCAAAAAAGGTTTGGGTAACTAATCCTAATATGCACACTCAGAAAAAAAGCTGAATGGTAGGTGAGCTAATTTTCTGAAAAAACTCAGAACATGATTAACCTTTGTTAACAAAAAAAACCCCAATCCTAAAGTAATTTTACAGCACATGTTAGTGAGATAATGCATTTAATTCCAAATTGATTTTCACCCTGGAAGTATAAATGGAAACAGATTTAATGCCCCTAACAGACGAATCAGTGTGGTTTTAAAACTATAGGCTTTTGGTTTGTTTTTACCATCAAGTGTATATATAGCTAAAATACATATGCAGAAGGCATCCAGCCGATGCACGTCACAACTGCATCTCAGTCACTCCTAGGAATGAGCAGTGATGCCTATTTACACAAAAAAATATATAAAGTTAACTTCTGAAACACTTCATGGGGCTACTCATCCCTTAAATCATAAAACCTCCAGTTATATCGGCGTTTTAAATAAAACTGGCAACATCTGGTGATTAGATGTACAGTTAAGGGCTAAAAATCTGAAAGAAACTGAGACCTACTATTTCTATTGTTGCTTTACTTTCATGCCAAACAGACTCCTAACTTTTTAACTGTCAAGCAACCACAAAAGTCTCTTAATTACATCACCAAAACAAATGAATCCTGGCCATGCCCTTTCAAATCCTGCAAATCCACTGAGACTACCAACAAAGAAAGGAATTTTGAGTGGGTTGTTTTGTGTGGCTATGAGTTAATTAGCAATCTGGTAAGTGCATTACAGATGTATCAGCATTAGCCATGACAGTTAATGGCAGTGCTTTAGCACAGGCTTGTATTTCAGGAGCTAAAGGGACAGCCTGCTGGATTGCCAAAACCAGATTACAAACAGAAATTGGAACACAGCACATTGAAATACATCCTACAAAACTCTGTGCAGCACCACATTAACTATGTACGAATATACTTAAAATATGAGCAAACCAACTAACTTGCAAATACAGACCCATCTTCCAATTCTAATCTGTCATCAGAATTGAAGACCAAAAGTATAAAGCATGTAACACAATTTTCTGCTCAAGTGTGTACAGAGGGAAATATTCTGCAGACATTAAATACAGATCGAGGTAAGTCTTATGTAGTTTTAAGTGTAACTCTAATGTCAACCTTGAAAATTGCAAAACCTGCTGGAACTGTAAATTCCCTTTGAAACTGAAAATTTCATTTATTTAACAAGTGTTATCTTGGTGGAGCAAAGTACAGTCCCACTATACAATTAAAAACCAGCCATGTAGCCCAGAACATTTAAGTCTCTGGAAGCATCTACTAATTTAGCCCAATTTGGTTTGGAGTAACTGATTAATGATCCCTGGAGCACAGAGGGGGAGAAGCAAAATCATAATCCCTTCAGTAAATAAAACTAAGATGAAGTTACACTTAGGTACAGGCAAAAAAAACCCATAAACCCCAGTGGAGTGCCAAGATGGGTCCCCAGGCTTCCTTTTCCTCCTGCCTAGCAGTGGTGTCCATGGGAGAGACACCTGGCTCAGACCGCTGTCCCACGGCTCAGAACGAGAGCTGTGCACACCTCGGGTTACAGGAATTTGCACTTCAGAGCTCAACTCCTGGGTTCAAGAGGATCCATCGGTTCGGATCGTTGTGTATCTTAGGGATCCATAAGCTAAACAGAAACTTTCCCCCCCATCTCTTGGGATCTTGGGTGATACAAGCCACAGGAACAGACTGCCCAATTCACTGCCGTTACCAGGTGCGCTGATCTCCTCTCACAGAGGAGACAAAACCCCAAGCTGTTCCCAATTAATGCTGAGCAAAAAGCACCGCTGGTGAGCTGCAGAGATGTGGCAGCAACCCAGGGGAAAAGGCAGTGAGCATCCAGGCAAGACTGGCCCGGGTGCTGGGCTATGAACACACACGGCACAGGAGTTACAGGACACATCACGGGATGGCCAGGGAAGCAGGCACAAGCCAAAACGCAGACGGGAAAAGAGTAACTACAAGAGCACAGAGATGGGTCCCACCCTCCTCATGAATATTTGCATTCTGGCCATTGTAAGGCCTGGAACTGGAAGAATTGCCCTGATTATCTGTGTGTGTAGAAACCCATCCAAACTAATCCAAGCCCTTTGGAAGACAATTGGCCTCAGAGGTGCCTGCTAACGACTCCCCAAACGCAACAGTGCTTCTCAAGGACTCCGCCTACGCTGAGCATGTGTTAACGCCAAACTCTTCAGGTGAAGATGATGAGCAATAGCAAGGCAAGAGCAACATCCCGTAGGGCAAATGAAGCCATCCCGACCAAACTAAAGCCGAGGAACCCTCGTCCTTATTATTATCCCTGTGCCCATCCCACAAAGCTGCAGGGGAACAGCCAGCGCTTGGAGCTGGCCACTGCTCAAACTCGTGGCAAGTCCCTTCTCCTGGATGGCACGGAGCAGCAGCACACAACTGGAGATAGTCTAAGGAAAAAACTAATTTACAGCCTATTTTTGTTACCTATTACCAGGGACTATTCATCACTTGACTATCTGTGCCTGTCTCCTGAGAAAAGCATTAAAAGCTACACGAGAATGAAGACAAGAGTGAAGTCAGTGTGACTTTCTACCTCAAGTTCTTTTACACTAATATAAAACAAAATTACTCTTCCTCAGATAGGGTAGTACAAATGAAAAAATTAATTACAACAAGAATAGTTTAAATAAATTATTAAATCCATTTGAAATACACTTCTCAAGACTCTTTCAAAATGTTTATTTTTGCATTTCATTTAAGCTGCAATCCATCACCAAAGCAATCATCTATTTGACCACATATTCCTGAGGTTCCTTTTCTACAGTGATACAGACAAATCGCTTTTGACACAAACACAGCTTGAAAGCTCAAGGCATTAATGCAAAATACAAAGAAACGAGCCATGAAAACACGGCTACACCGTACTCTGCCATTCTAAAGCCGTATGGCAAACGCACAAAGCTAACTATCCATCATGTGTATGTTAAAAACCTGCTAGTTAAGCATAATCTAATTTCATTTTTCAGGTACCTAGAAGTTACAACAGAAATATCTGGTATACAGTCTGCAAAGACAGCTGATAGACAATATTTGATGCACACTGTCGGTAAGACAAGAAGAAATGTCTGAATGACTGGAAGGTTGCAGTTCCTATGTCACTGGACTAGAAATAACATTCCTTACAAATACTGATATCACTCTGCATATGATGGAAAATGCAATTCTCCAATAGCTCAAAATGAAACCTTAAAAAATTTAAAATTTAAAAAGGATGCGATTGAGCGGCTCTGTTTTTAACAGAAAAAATTAAACTTGTACAGGAGACACGTTATTTTTTCTGCATGAAAAAGCACCACAAATAAGGCCTTATCAGAAAACAAAATAAAAATCTTTGCATTATTGCAGGCCATTATTATAGAGGAGCAGCTTCTCGTTATCCCGTTCTATTAGAAGTTCTAGAGGGAAAAAAAACCCCAAAAACATGACGGGAACGAGAGAAAGAGAGAGAAAAAAAAAAAAAAAAAAAGAAAGAAAATGGCTGAGACGCTTTTGCATTGTGGCGAGGCGATGCAGTAGAGCAGCAGGGCTTGAGGAGGCCGGCGGCGCCAGAAGCCCTCCCGTGAGAGAGCGGCCAGG